CCAGGCAGTCGTAAATTCCCGTTTATCTGATCAACGCCGCTTCGCCGCGTAAGGGGCCTTGAAGGAGGCTCGATACGCGGCGCAGCGGCGCTGAACAGATGAACGGTAATGTTCGGGATATCAGTGATCTCCGCGAGTGCTGCCGCCGTCTACAACACAGCCATTTCTGTCACTTTCGCGAGTTGGGGCTTCTTGGAATCTTTGGGGGGGGGGGGGGGGGGTCGTGCTTGGAGTGGGATACAGATCGGGGGATGGACATCAGTTGTGGTATATAGGTACCGGTGTATCACAATTGAGCTTGGTTCTGTGTGCCTTTTGTTCTCCCCCGTTGCCTTCCTTCGTGCTGTCACCGTAGCAAAGCCCAGTGCTGTAAAAGCAGCTCGACCACATTCAGTGAGCGCATCTAATTCGATCGAGACGAAGGCACGACGTAACTCTTTGCTTGCAGCTTGTAGACATTTCATGTCTACCTTTGTATTGAATCCATCCATTCTAAAACGATGCCACTTGCCCAGAAGCTTTTCTTCCAAGACAAAATCTGTGTATAAATCCAAACGCCAACTCTTTTATCCCTTTCGAGCCACAGAGTGTGTATCTTTGCATGTATACTTCTAACTGCAACAGGAGAACGAAGCCAAACAGAAATGCAAGAAATCGAGAGTACAACTAATTAAACGACGGCTCGCTCACAGACGGTCCAGCAGGCCCCTGCTCTCGAGCAGCAGAATAATCTCGTGCACAATCGAGCGGACGTTTTGCTTGGTCAGGTCGACCGTCAGGTCGGCCTTCTTGGGCACCTCATAGGGGTCGTCGACACCGGTGAAGCCCTTGATCTCTCCGGCACGAGCCTTCTTGTAGATGCCCTTTCGATCCGTCTTCTCGCAGTGCTCGAGCGGCGTCGCGACGTGGACCAGGAAGAAGGGCCCCGACTTCTCAATCAGCTCGCGGGCGTGCTGGCGGTCAGCCTCGTACGGCCCAATGGGGGCGGCGATGACGGCGGCTCCGGCCTTGGTCAGCTCCGAGGCCACAAAGGCGATGCGGGCAATGTTGAGGCTTCGGTCCTGGCGGCTGAAGCCCAGCTCCGACGACAGCTCGGCACGCACCGTCTCGCCCAGCAGCATCGAGACAGGCCGACCGCCGCCCTGGTTGAGCGTGGCCTGCAGGGCGCGCGCAACCTGGTCCTTGCCGCTGTTCTGGTAGCCGGTCAGGAAGACGGTGAAGCCCTTCTCGCGCGGCAGCGGGTTCTGCTCGCGGAGCACCTTGACGACCTCGGGGTAGGAGAACCACTCGGGGATCTCCTTGCCGGTCCGCAGCCGGTTGCGCAGCTCCGTGCCCGAGATGTTCATGGTGCGCGTGCCCTCGGGGATCTCGTTGGCCGGCAGGTACTCGTCGCTGTCCGGGATGTAAATCATCTCCTGGAACTCGACCATCTTGATGCCCAGCTCCTCCTGGTGCTGCTGGACGAGGATCTGCGCGTCGTACGGGCCGTAGTGGTCCTTGCCGTCCTTGTTCTTGCCGGGTCCGGCGTGGTCACGGCCGACAATAAAGTGCGTGGCGCCGTGGTTCTTGCGGATCACGGCGTGCCAGAGCGCCTCTCGGGGGCCGCCCATGCGCATGGCCAGGGGTAGCAGGGCGAGGGCGGCCATGCCGTTCGGGTAGCGAGGCAGCAGGGCGCGGTAGACGCGGACTCGGGTGAAGTGGTCGATGTCGCCGGGCTTGGTCAGGCCAACGACGGGGTGGATGAGGACGTTTGCCTGCTGGGAGCGAGCGGCGCGGACCGTCAGCTCGCGGTGAGCGCGGTGCATCGGGTTTCGCGTCTGGAAGGCCACGACCTTTTGCCAGCCGAGCTTGTTGAAGTGGGATCGCAGCTCCGCGGGAGTGACTATTGATCATGCTGTTAGAGGTGCTGCTGTCATATTTCGCTTCTGGGGTTTGTCCACTTACAACGCAGGTCGAGGAAGTCGTAGTGCTCCAGACGGTTGATGGCCTCGAGCTTTCCGCCAACGTAAAAGTCCTTGGCCACGCTCAGGAGGTGCTTGACGCCGGGGTGCGTGTCATCGTCGCTGCCAAAGACCAGCTTGGCTTCCTGGACCCTGGAGAGCGCATGTAGTTTAGCATCAACTTCTTCTAATTGAAGGCCCAGGAAAAAAAGCGGTCTCGTCTTACTTGTCTGGCCTGTACACATCCTCGACCGTCAGAATGGCGAGATTCCGGTCGTCTCGAAAGTCGCGCAGCGTGAGTCTTGCGCCGGGCTTGATGGACAGCTCGTCAATCTGCGCCTGGTCCACGTCGAGGGTGATGGGCATGCTGAAGAGCAGGCCGCTCTCGAGCCGGTTCTCCTTGACCACACTGGCAATGCGCGTGTTAGTCGACACCAGTTTTGTTCCCTTGCTTCTCAGTTCACTGGTTGACTTACCGGTTGTAGTCATTCTCAGTCATGAAGCCTAGACGTAGAATCCAGCGTCAGTATTTCCCTATGTATGACACGCTGGACGGGGACATTCGGCGAGAAAGCTCCCTGCTCGGCTACAGGCGCGGGGCAGCAGAATCGTGGCTTGTGCCTCCTCAACAAATCGCTGGAACCAAAAGACTGCGACAACTTACCCTCCAGAGGCGAGAAACCGCCATTGAGAATCAGCTCCAGGTCGCACAGGTGACGCTCAGACAGAACCAGCGCAGGGAGAGTCTCGGATTCCTCCAGCAGCTCGGCCTGGCGAGGCAGATCGCGCGCAAAGAGGTCCTTGAGGACGCCGCCGTGGGGAGTGTTGGCCATGATGACGATGGCGGGGTACTGAAGGGAGTGGGATGGTCTACGTGCTGCCGGTTGTGTGTGTGTGTGTTCTTGTTCGAGGATGGTGTCAACGACACGGCAAGTCACGCAACAGGATCCAACGAGGGGACAGGAGGAGAGGATAGCAGAAGAGCAAGCAGCAGACTGGCAAGCCACAGGGTATAATGGAAGACAATGAAAGGGAGAGGAATCACAACGAGAGGAGAAGAGAAGAGGGAGAAGAACGAGAGATTAGGCCGGGGAAATGGCCCGAATCCCAGGCTATAAATAAGGCGAGGCTTCTTGGTGGTCACGCCGGAGATGCTAGAAAACGCAACAAGTCCATTAGTCGTCGTCGCATGAGTACACAGCTTCGATAGACAAGAGACAAGGTCCCCTCTCGGGCGAATGATGAATCAAGTTTGGATGATCCGTAAGCAGCCTCTCTGCCTGGCCCCCCTGGTGGAAGGGGAAAAGAACCGCTTTTCTCTTCTTTCTCGACGCACCCCACCGAAGGGTTGGAAATTCAATTCGCCCCCCCCTGTGGTGAGGATGGAGGCTTGGATGGGTGGATGGAATTGCGATACGCAGGTTCGACACATGCAAAGACGGCAGCTCCACAGGCATCAAAAAGGGCTCGCCATCTCCACCAAACCCAGGGAATGGCGGCATTTGGCTCGAGATTCTGGCGATGACGTGCTCGAGGCGCGATGCTCCGAGTCCCGCATGGCTTGAGGGACGAGGCCAATCAAGGACGCTGGTTCCGAGCTGCGAGGCACGGCGAGAGGAACGACGCCTGGAGGGGCCTTCTCCCTTGCTGGATTAGCTGCGATTGCGAAATCTCGGGCCATCGGGGTTGGTGGAAGTCGGTGCTCTGGGACGTGGAGAAAGTTTTTTTCTCATCCATCTTCCCCGTCATCTTCGTCAGTCTCTTCTTGTCTTGCCATGGGATGGATCGAGGCTTGATGGTGATGGAAACTCCGTTCCCTCTGGCTTCATGCGTATCAATCCGCGTCATCCCATTGCTGATCGTCGTTGCGGCTTGTCACAGTATGTATGTAAAGCTTCCAGGCTGGAAATTAGCAGAGCAACGGATCGTCAGGGTGAAGACGAGAACCCGGCCAGAACTCGAGATCATCATCCAGAGACGAAAGATGGACACACCTCCCCAACTAAGCAGCGGCCTAATTGCCTAGTGTCTCCATCACGGGGCCCCCACGGCTTCGGACCATCGCTGTCCTCTTGCAACGTTGATGCGGGATTCCCGCTTGGCTGCCCATCTCACCACCCCGTCGCCTCGATTTCGCCATTCTGGCCCCGGATGAGAGAAGCGTAGAGACTTGTCTGTTCAGGCCTTTTCGATGCTACCAACGCTTGCTGCAGCATTGACTCTGCCCGCAGCGGCTCTCGGGAGGCTTGTCGTTTTCAATTGTCTTTCATTCCTTTGGATGAAAATCTGCTGCCCCTGTCTGGTGCTTTTCGGAGCATCGGCGACTAGGGTGTGATAGCGGGTTGTTTGTTCTGTAGATGCCTGGGTTGAACGACGTAAATGAGTAATCAATGTGCCATCTCGAGGTGTTCAGCAGCTTTGAAACTTACTACTTGAACGCAGAGGAGTATCAGGGTCAGGGTTGAAAACGTCATCTGTGTCTTGGTGTTCCGAGTTCTTGCTGGGTTAAGAAGGCAAAGTCTGTAGAGAAAAGACATGAGAGAGAGAAGAAGTGGGGCAGCAGCTGGTTCAAAGCTGAACAGATGTCGGGAAGGAACATTGGATGCGCACATACCTGGGTTCTACAGAGTAAAATCGTCCCCAAGGATGGGAGTAGAAAGAGGATATACACATATTGAACTCTGTATACCTTACCAGACCTAGGTATGTATGCAGTTCTGAAAGTACGGGAAACATCACCGATCCAGAACGCAATGTCTGAGCCAGGACAAGTCTCTTGGATGCTCGTAGACCAGAGATTCACATAATACTCTGTTCATTGCTGACAACTCAGGCATAGCAAAGGGAAAGATACGAGAGAGACACTTGGATAACGGGCCATGTTCATTCGCCTACCGCTCGTTCAAGCCTAAACCGACTCCGTTCAGTAGCCCATCCCATTCTGTTCCTGGATGAGAATGACAGAAGATTGAATAGGCCCGTCAGGCCAAACTCTGTGTCGAAACATGATTGTTCAGTTGCTTCTTCTCTGAGAGCAGACCGCTTACATCTCCCTGCAACATGTTGCATCTGTTCAACGGGACCAAAGAATCCAAGATGCTTAAATCAAACCTCTTCGACCGTCAGCAGGTATGTGATTCCGGTGCACCTTATCCAACAACCCTCTCAGTTTACAACATCACCTGTCCTGAGCTACCATTACGTCCCTTCAACATTACGCTACCCTAGGTACTATACCTTACGTTGATACCAAGAGAAGCCATGGATCAACCCTCTTCCCATGCCCGTCCGCCGCAGGCTCCACTCAACTATGATATTTTCCATATGATTCTGACTAAATACATGGATAATCACCAGGACATCCTCAACTTCCTCCTGACAAGCAAGCAAAACTACGCCCTCTACAGCGAGACTCTCCACCGACACAACATCCGTCACGGAGGGTGCTCCGTCCTGGAATGGGCCGCGAGGGCAAACAACATGGCCTTGGCTGTCAAGGCCCTCCAGACCCCCAAATTTGAGGAGTATGCCCCGAAGGAGCTGTGGACTAACGTGCTGCAGATTGCGGTAAGCAACAACAACTTGGACCTGGTCAGGTTGCTGTTTGAGTTGGAAACCGTCCAGACGAGCATCAAGCAGGCATCCGACAACAAGCTTGTCACAGGGTTGGATATGCCAACCATATCCAGCATTGAGACGCAGTTCCTGAGACCCATGTTTGACGCCGCAAACAGAGGCATGCAGGAGGTTGTAGATCTCTACCTCTCCCACGGGGCTAGCATACATCTGTTCGACTGGACCCGGCTGACGGCTCTTCACTATGCAGTCTCTTCGAACAAACTGGATCTTGCTAGGCACTTGCTGGACAATCACGGAGCCAACCCCAACGGCCTTGGCAGCAAAACGCCCATCATGACGGCAGCTCGCAACGGCCACGCAAACATGGTGGAGCTGCTGCTCTCTCGCGGCGCCGACCCCAATGTCAGTGTCAACGGTGCCCCCTTTAGCCTTGCCCTCATGGACGCGGTCGTCGAGGGCAACGGAGACGTCGTCAGCGTGCTGCTGAAGGACACCCGCGTCGACCCCAACTCTCGCAACGCCTCAGGTAAGACAGCCTTGGACTGGGCGATCACGTTTGGTAAGGGAGACATGCTGCAGCTTCTTCTCGAAGACGGCCGGGCCGATCCCACGCAGAGGAACCACGTCAACAGGACTGCCCTGGACTTGATCATTGAGCACGACAGGGCGGAAATGGCACGCATGATTCTTGCAGATGGCCGCGTCGACCCCAACGCCAGGACGCTCAATAACGAGACTGCCCTGGAGAATGCTGTACGGAGTGCCAGCCATGCCATCGTCCAGCTCCTCCTGGCCGACGAGCGGGTTGACCCCAACAGCACCACACAGAATGGCATGACCCCTTTCTTGTTTGCTGCCGAGGCGGGCAGTGACACCTGTCTCAGGATACTGCTTGCTGACAAGAGAGTCAAGGTCTACGCGAGGAACAATGACGGCGCCAATGCCTGGACGATTGCCTTCCGCCGGCCTGGGAATCGCAACCCCAGGGTGCTGCTCGAGAGCGGCGTCGTGGACCCAAACGCGTTCGACGGCGACCTCAAGACGCCAGTCATGCTCGCCGCATGCTTACCGCCCACTCATCTGCTAGAGCTCTTTATTGCAGACGAGAGGGTGGACCTGAACATGGCTGACGGAAACGGCCACACAGCCCTGATGCAGGCAGTTCGGCACGACAGGCCAGGGAGCGTTGCTCTGTTGCTCGACTCGGGCCGCGTCCAAGTCAACATGCAGAGCAAGAACGGGGAGACGGCGCTCATGATGGCCGTCAGCCTCAAGAGGGTCTGGATTGTCCGGCTGCTTCTCGCTTCGCCGCGCATCGACGTCAACCTGGGAGACTGCAACGGGGTGACGGCCCTGGCCCTGGCCTACGCCATGACCAACGTCCAGCTGGCCGAGATGATTCTCGACACAGGTAAGGTGGAGTTTGGGAAAGCCGCGCGGTTTGAGGCGAGCGAGGCGGTCGATGCCCGGCTTGTCTCCTTCAGGTCCGAGATCGAGTCTAGGAGCGCGCGGTATCTGGAGGCCATGGTCCAGACGTACGCCAAGGTCGATCAGCTGAACGCAAAGGACCGAGATGGACTGACGATGCTCGAGGCAGCGATTGAGCTCAATGACAAGTATACTGTCGGTCTGTTGCTGGGCACCGGCAAGGTGGATGTGACGGCCAAGGCGTTGGAGTGCCGAGACGATACCATTACACGGATGATGCTCGAGTATCGCGCCAACACTTTCAGCTGAGCCGGGCCGTGAACCTGTCTCAGGTAAGGTAGGTACTGATACATCTGGCTAGCCCTGCCTTGTGTATTGTTTGATTCTTTGATATTCTCCTTAACATAGGTAGCTCTTCGACTATGTTCGGGTTGGCAATACAACAAGTCGACACGATGAAAAGCGAATGATTATTTGTCAAGGGAAATTGTATTCGGCGGCCGTTACTTCTTATGTAGTGTTTTTTTTTTATCGAGAGCAAGCAATCAAAAAATGAAAATCAATATCCCATCATTCTGGTGAGCATCCATCCCAAACACAATCAAGTTCCCAATAGACCCTCCCAAATATACCGTCCCAAATTTTACCGCCCCCAGATATACCGTTCCACAAACAGCGTATATCATCATTGTCGCGTATTCTCCTCAGTGATAGAGAAGAGGATACAGAAAGGACATGCCAATGTACTCCTTCTCGTACTTGAGCGGCAGGATATGCGCCAGGACATCCGGCCAGTCCGTCATCGGCTGCAGATGCTGATACGCCTTGATGTACTCCCAGTGCTCGGGATACCAGCCAGACTCCTCCCAGTCGAGGATGGCCGCCACCTTGAACGTCTTCTCGTCAATGAGAATGTTGCGCGGCACCAGGTCGCCGTGCGTAAAGACAATCTGGTGCTTGCGCGAGAGGCAGTACCGGGCGAGATGCCGCATCATCCGCGGCGCCGTCGAGACAATGTCCTCGAGGATAAAGGCATTCCACTCGCGCTCGCTCTCAAAGGGGCCGCACTCGATGGGCGACCGCTGGCCAAAGACGGCCTGGCGCCGGTTGATGGCGCCGATGTAGTCGCCCCTGAGGCTGCGCAGCTGGCGGACGTAGCCGTGCAGCTCGTGCGCAATGTCGAGCTTCTGCTGCACCGTCAGGTCTACCCAGATCTGGTCGAGCGGCTTGCCCGGCACAAAGTCCATGATGATGCACTTGAGCCTGCCGTCCTGCCAGTCCGTGTCCTGGACCTTGGGCACAGGAATCGTCGTGTGTTCCGCAATGAACTGCAGCGTCTCCGGCTCGCACGGACGCAGGTTGTCCCCTTTCTTCCTGACGAGGACGTCTCCAATGTTGATCACCTTACGGCCATACGAAGAGTGCAGTACCTCGTCTTCGTCTGAGTCCATCTTCTGTCGGGAAGGGGGAAGAGACAAGGGGGTCAGCATATGTTACTCCTTTTTTTCCTTTCTCCAGCGTTGGGAGGCTGAGGATAAGATGCACACACGGGGTTCTGCTCTCTAGAGATGAGAGTCCAATACTCGACTCGGAGATGAGCTGGGTCAAGAAGTCTGTTACAGAAGTGGCGTGGAGGATTCTCTGTGTTGAGATCATCAGCGATTGCGAATCTAGATGTGGCCTTGGACGCAGTGCCTACCTCTTGGTGATTCTCCTCTCCTTGCCTTGATGCTGAGATGCCTTACTCGAGCTGTGGCTGTGATGGGTATCTGGCGGGAGAGAAAGCTGAAAGGGAGAGAGGCAGGGCGGACAGAGGCAGAGAAGAAAAGAGAAGAGAAGAGGGGTTGGGATGAGCATCATTTCCCGCTTCCCCAATCAGAGGAAGCATGCACTTTCAGCTTCAAAGGGCGGGATGCATCATGCATGATAACTGCACATATTGGGCACTGTACGTACATGCACTCATTGGGCGGGCAACGGCCACACAGGGGTGATGATGAACCCAACGAGAAAACAAGGCCCAATCGCTTTCCATAGGGCATCGCCTCGATGAACTGTTCAAAGTGGAATGCACGCATCTTGATGATGCATCGCCCAGTCATGTTGCTCTTGGACACGGATCAAGCAGCGTATTTCCTACATACCTTGCCTGCATGCGAGACTGTGGCATCACCACAGGTGTGGCAATAGAGGAGCGGAGATGCCCAGCCATCATGCACCTTCTGTATGGTGTCATTGGTCTTTGCCAGGAAATGCCTGCTTGGATTGATGCAGGCAAACGCGCCCATCATCTTTTTCGTCTGGACGCTCGCCACCCAGGGCTTCCTCGAATCCCCCTTGCAGTTATCCTTTTCAGACAGACTTCAGTACAAACACCTACATCACATCCAGCCGATACGCTTCCACAGGAAAGACGTGCCGCCAACAACAGCCGTGGCTCCCGTAAACGCAATCAGCGGACCATAGCCGCTCCCATACCCTCCCGCAACCTGTCCCTGCCACGACATGCCCTTGACCAGCGCCTCGCTCAGAGGCCCGGAGACGACGTTGCCAATGCCCCGGCCGGCCGCGAGATAGCCAAAGACCATGACCGGGTCAAAGGCGGCTCCCGCGTTGGCGATGCCGGCCTGGCTCGGCTTGGACGTGACCTGCTTGATGACGCCGGTCCAGGTCGACGTGTAGGACCCGGCAAAGAAGCCGTAGATGACGCAGAAGACGTAGAGCACGGCCATGTTTGTCGCGAACCCCCAGAGCAAGAACGTGCCGATGACGGTGCCCACCGTCGAGATCATTATGCACGTCGTCGGGTGAAACCGATCGACAAAGACGCCCATGGCGATGCATCCAAACACAGAGGCCACGTTGACGGCCAAGATGGTCAAGGCGGCGGGGAACGCCTCGGAGCCGAGGATCGAGGTGGCGTAGGACGGCAAGTAGAGGCCGGGCATGAAGAAGCCCAGGGCCTCGGCAATGTTGGCCGCCTGATACATGAGGAACGAGCGATCAAACAGGAAGCCCAGCTTGGACGGCTTGATGTGTGCCGTGGCGGATATCGGGAGTCGCGGCTTGACAAAGTAGACGACGGGGATCGTCAGGACGAAGAGGGCGACGGCCCAGATGCGCAGCGTCGTCCGCAGTCCGTATCGCCCCAGCAGGTATTCGAGCAGCAGAGGGATCGCGAAGCCGCCCAGGCCCGTGCCGGACCACATGACGCCAAAGGCGAGACCTTTTCGCTTGACGAACCACTCGTCCATGTACAGGATGCAGGGCCCGTAGCAGATGGAGCCGCCGACGGCGAAGAGGACGCCCTGGGTGAGGATCAGATGCCAGACGGTCTGGGAGAAGGAGCTCAGTGCGAGAGCAATGCACATGATGAGGAGGCCTGCCGTTGGGCCGTATCGGTTCTGCTTGGGGTAGAGTCTCATGAGAGGAAAGACAAAGGGGGCGGATAGGTACATGGTTCCCTGGGAATGATGAGCCAAACTGCTGTTACATTACTCGTACATCTTTGTTGATGGAACGTCGACTTGGGGGGAGGGTGGAATGCTCCAATACTCACCATTGCAGTCGTGCCGATGGCGGCAATGCTGGAGGAGCCCTTGAACGGCTCATGGGTGCTGTAATAGTTTTGAAAGATGCCAAAGGCAAAGGGGAAGCCTAGGGTAATGAAGGAGCAAAGGACCAACTGTTAGAGGCTCCGAGACACTTCAAGCGGCGAGGTCGAGACATCCAATGAGCCATGACTTACCCCAGACAAGACACTCGATGATGAAACATGCCGTCAAGAAGAGCATCGCGTCCTTGCCCGTATCGACGGGAGGCAGCGAGACTCCGTCTTGACCCTCGTGTTCCGAGACGACATCAGGTGAGAGAGTCGAGTCCGCGGGTGTGGTTGCATCGAGCTGGATCGACTCTGCTGGAGGTTGCTCGTCGAACGAAACCCTCCCCATGGTGACCGAAGGGGGGGTGCGAGTGCGTGCAAACGGCGGAATCTATCGGCTTTGTCGATGGATGGGTGACGGATCTCGAGCTCGTCTTTCGTCGATTTATCATTTATCCCTCTGTGCCCTGCAGCAAGTGAGATGCAAGTCGAGTACTCAGTAGACGTCAACGGCTCGAGGCCTGAAGGAACCAGCAGCTGTCTTTTATCCAACCAACAATCTGATGCCGGAGGCGCTCTCTTCTCGCCTCGCCTTGTCTTGTCTTCAGGCTGTCTGTCTTGAGCGCTCCAAGGTCGTCTTATATCAAAGATGCTCCACAAAAGCAAGCGTCTGGCGCGCCCTTTTGTTGATGGCGATGCACAGATTACTCCATACATGACTCGGCTCGAGATTAATAATCATCACATCTCGTATCATCAGCGGTCACACTGGTCCATACGGCAGCTCTCGGAGTCGTGATCCTCACAAGGATAAGGTGCCAGTATCTTTCTTCAACTATGAGGAGAGTATCTTTGTCAGTTCAAGGAGACAGCATGACTTGGTAGATGCCCTTTCAACTCATCCTTTACCTGACTGCATGCATCACCAACTGTTAGGGGAGGGGGATTTGCTGTGATTGCCGGACGAGCTTGACAATCGCATTGCCCTCTATCGTAATGTGAATAGATAGGTAAGTGGTCAAGGCACTTTGTGACATTGTACAATGATGAAAATGAGTAATGTACCGTAAGGCTCGAGGAGATGCAGACAACCACATTATATTCGCCGATTATTGTTGAATTCACAAAGAGCCACCAGTCCTTCCAACAAGCAAGAAAATGCATCAACGCAGTCCCATCATCCCGCATACATCAAGCCTTAATAGCTCAGAGACAAGTCTTTCAACAGAGAATATACAATGCAAGCCTCATGGATTCCTTTCCCTCCCCGACCGCCCAGAACCTTGGATGGCATAATCGGAGACGCTGACGAGCTCATCGTTTCGGATCACAAATATGAAGAGCGTGATTTCTGACCGAGCACCCGAAGGAGGAGCTGAAGCTGATCTATCGGGCAGAGGATCTCGAGGATAGGAACTGTAACAGATGGTGTTAGCTAAGGCAGCTGAAGGGTCAAGAGAGCAATCGATATACGTACGACAAGCAGGTCAGGCATTCTGAGATGGGAAGAGACTCTGAAATGAGCTCGCCGCAACCAGGGCAGTGAACGAGTTCGCACATGCTCTGGTCGTTAGCAGAACCCGCAGCAAATCCGAAGCTGTTGAGAGGAGTCAAGCCAGGTGTTGACCAAACGTGATCATACAACAAGATTGTGCGGACAGGTGAAAAAGCAGGCAAGCAAACACACAAGCAGCCGCAGTAGAAGATGGCCAACCCAGACCACCGCCTCTCATCTTTGGATGCTGAAACAGCAAGAGGAATTTGAATTTCGCATTCGCTTCGGCGTGGCTTTATACACGTCGCACCTCCAATTCCTCGCTTCCCATTGCACCGAGCTGCCTCTGCGTCTCCGTTGCGTAGTCCCGGGCTGTCACAAGCCTGGCGTCAGTAAGACATCGGCCTCACAAAGAGGGGCACCAAGTGTGAGAAGAGAATAAGGGAAAAAAAAAAAAAGCAAGGCAGTGCACATACAAGAAAGACAGGAGCCTGCCAAGTCCTTCACACTCTGGCATTCGTCAACAAGCCCCCCGGACAACTAGTGCGCTTTCGACCTGTCTTGCGAACCAACACTGCCGTCGCCATGAGCACATTTTCCCTCCCTACCCCAAGATGTCAAGCAGTGTCCAGGAAGCAGTCAAGCCCTCCATCACGCGCGCTGCAACCTCGTAGTGGCCAGGGTCGCAGAAACTCTGTTGGCGAGAGTTGTCACAAGCAAAAGGGGGGAGACGGGTGAAAGAGAAAAGGGGGGGCCCTCCAGGCTGCAAGGCACGGGCTGATGAGCGGTAAACGCCACACCCTGTTTCGATCGACCCAAGCAAAAAAGATTCATGTTGGTGATGCTCATCCTCCTCGGGAACTACCCGAGGGAATCCCAGATTTTGTGGCGTTTTCCTCGCACGGCTAACCTTGCCCGATGAGCATGTTATAAGCGACAAGGCTGCATAATCCGCAGCGAGAGCCGGCTCCAGGCCTGTTCGATTCGCACCTTGGAAAGGATCTCGATTGAGGAGACATGGTTGATCGACGGGCCTCGAATCTGGCCAGCAGGCCATGGTGCATGCAGTCGTGTCCGATATGTTTCCGCAGCCGTGAGCCGTCAGCTGTCACAGGCGGTTCCGACTTGTCATGTCCACGTCGTTGTCGCCAGTTCCCGGCTCTTGATTCGTCTCACATAGACAATCAGTGACTGAGCCACAGTGATGACTTGAGGAGAACACACCTCTACAGCGACGGGTGTGTCCAAATGGGGCAATCAGCAGATTGGTGAAGGAAAAGAGCATGATTCTCTGTGCGTGTTTTGTTCGTTTCTCCTGACAGCAGGCTCAAACTCTAAGACGGTGCTGCAGCCAGTCACGACGCTTGATAGGCGAGGCCTCGTCAAAGAAGTCGTCATCGCGGAGAGAAAAGGAGGCAGAAGATGGAGAAAAAAGTGGGAGGCAAGAGGGTTCAAGAAGGTGGAAAGGGGGGAAGGAGGGTGGGATGGAAGGCAAGGTAGGGTTGTATCAGGTTGCATCCCTCTTGCCGGATCTCTGTGATGTGTGCGTGAAGAGCGGTTGTCATCTGTGAATGCACTTGCCGACTTGCTAAAGGGACACACTATGTATTTCTAGAATACTACCTACCACCTAGGTAGTATAGTAGTACTATCTTGTACTAGGTAGGTACCTAGTAGGTAGGTTACTCGAAGGTGACTTTTCAACGAGAAACAAGAATTGACACCAGCGGACGAAGCAAAGCATTTCTACCGGTAAGCAGATAGCATCAAACTCTCAAAATCATATATCCGTGCCCTGAAAGCGTCACGTTGAAAAGAACTGAGATTAAGTGCTGAGAGACGATGAACAAACGAAGCACTCAGAATCAGGGGCTCAAACGCAAACACCTCCTCAGCTTCACAGCCCTCATCAAGTCAAGTCCCCGCTGCCTTCCCACCAACACAGTACTATTTGTCAACAAGAGAGAAAGCAAGCTATGCAAACTAATATGGTTCTCGTTAAACACGATGCGGTAACACAAGCCTCGTCCACAGGGCTGACCAACAACAGGACCGCCATTCAAGGTTGATCCCAGCATTTGACGAGTTCCGGCGAGGGCGAGGATGGGGCCCCAAACATGATCCACCCACTCCGACATGAGATCGCGGATCGAGCAGGGCAAGCGAAGGGGGTTGAGCAGGAATCGCAGAGTTAAGCTTGATGTGAGCTTCTTCTTCTTCTCCGGAGAAGCGCCGTGACATGAAACTGCACTAACTGGGTATCAAGCATGAGATGATGAACATGACAGCTCTGTTGACTAGGTAGGTACCTATCAGCTTGCCGAATAGTCACGCCATCATTGTCTATCGCCGTAGAGATCTTCATACCAGGTTCTCAATAGTAGGCTCTTGAAAGGCAGTCCGTCAGCTTCATACCGTGAATCAACTCATAACTGCGTCCACATAACAAGTCCGGCAACAGCCTCGGAAACTGACTGACTTGTGAGATAGCCTACACGGTCGTCTCTTCGGTCCTTTCGTCTCTAAAGGCAACAGCTTGAAGCCTCCCACAACTCAAGTTCAAAATACAGCGCCATGCCAGACTCCATAAGAGCTTCCAGTACATATGTTCGTTATCCTCGAGGTTCGTTCATGAAGCCCATACACTCCACCCACACACCGCCGAGTGCGGTCCTGTATCCATCACCCGCCATGCCGTGCCGTATGTTTTTTTTTTTTTTGTTCTCCCTCCCATTTTCCCACCTCCAGCAGAAGACACGCCAGCATATTCGCAAGAAATTAACGACAGAGAGAAGGGACAACGAGCAATTAAAATAGCTGACAAAGTATGCTCATCGTGCAGGCCTAGATCAGACTTTGCGCTTGCTGATATCCTGTTGACGAGGCGAGAGGATCATGGATAATGAAGGGAATAAGCGCCGTGCGGAAAGACATTCCTTCTGAGGGTCGACCGAATGAAGCAGAGTGATGTTCAATTAGAATCAAGCTAGTATTATATCAATGATATGAGGCCAGAGACCTTTATGCGTAGAGAGCCTCGACGAGGTAAATGATGCCAAAGAGCAAGAAGGCAACGGCGCCGCCAACGGTCACTACAAGGAAGCCCTTGGGTCAGAACTTGTGCTCGTCTAGATCGGAAAAAGGGGGGAAAGGGGTCTTTCACATGCTACTTACCAACTTTGAGACTGACGCGTCCGGCAATGGCTCGGCCGCCAATGACTGCAACGCCCGTGCAAATGCAATGCCCGGCCAAAGCACCGAGCGTCACCCACCAGTAATCCTGCCCGGCAGCCATGGCAATGGTGGCGATCTGGCTTCGGTCTCCCCACTCGCCCAGGAAGGTCATGACAAAGGTCTGGACCCATGCAGGGCTGAGGATGAGGGAGCACAGGTTGCTGATGCCGCTAACGAAGCCGTTGGCGCCTCCCGACTTGCGCGAGGGCATCCGGGACGGCGACTCCGAGGGCGATCGCGGGGAGGGAAACCTGCTCTTGCGCGAAGTCCTGCCGCCGAGGCCCATTTCCAAGGCATCGCCGGAGATGGACCCGCCCCTACGCTCGAGCTCCTTTTCCTTCTCGGCGAGTTCTTGTTCCACTTCATGCAGCTCGGCAGTGACGCCCTCGTTGGGGTCCATCTGCATTCCCTCTCGCAGGAGCCTGGCTCCAAAGACAAAGAACAGACCGGCGGCGAGGAGGCCAGTCAGACGCTTGGGGATCAGGGCGGGGACGGCGTGGCCCAGAACAGCGGACAGGACCGTCATGACAAGGAGGGCACCAAAGGCGGCAGAAAAGACGACCATGCGGTCGTGCTTCATGGCCATGAGGGCCGCCACCAAGAACGTCTTGTCGCCAACCTCGGAAACCAGGATCATGGTGAAGGACAGGATAAAGGAGTGGAAAGGCTGGATGATGCCCTCTTCTTCGTCTGTGGGATTCAGAGCTGAAGATGAGGAGCTTCCGGCCTTGGGCTTGGAGATGTCGAGGTGATCCTTCTTTGCCGAGTCGGGGAGGGGTGGCGCCACCTGTTCGCGGTCCATGTCGGGGAGATCATCGGGTTTCTAAAGGTTTTAGTACGCATGTTAGTCGACATCAATCGATGTTTACCACTATTCGACAAGAGGAGTTTTGATTGAAGAAAGGATAGCGAAACAAAGGGAAGCACAAAAAGAGTGAATGGTGGTTCGTACCTCGAGCCCGGTGTAGCCCGTGTCTTCAACATCCTTGTCGGACGACGACTTGGACTTTGACTTTTCCTTGTCGACATCTGCTCCCTTGGTCTTGTCTTTGCCCTTTTCAATCTTCTTCTCCTCGCTGTGGGGGATCGGAGGGTGCTCCTTGGGCGCCTCAGGCTGGTTGACGAGCTTTTCGCCCGTCTTGCCCTCGTGGGCCTTGCGGGCCTTGTCCTTCTCGGAGACGCCTCCCTCAGTACCGGTGGTGCCATCCTGGGGCTTCTCGCGGTTCTTGTCGAACATGACGCCATCATTGGACTCGGGAATCTTCTTGCCGTCGACAATGGTGGGATCCTTGGGACGCCCCTTGAGGGTCGGCAGATCCTTCTCGCCCTTGGTCTCGGTGGACGCCGTGCCGTCCGTCTCGACAAAGGGGCCTAGATGGGGCTTGCCATCCTTGCCATCGACGGGCGCGTCTTTGGTGGGCACGCCCAGACGGCCCTTGAGCATCGCCGGATCGGCCACGTCTGCGGCGAGGGCCGCATCTTGGTCATTGCCGGCGACAGGGTTCGTCGCAAGGGCGCTGGCGATGGACGGGAGGATGAGGAGGAGAAGAGGGGAGTGCTTCGTGCGGAATTGCATCGTGGCGGGCGGCGGCGACGGGCCGTTCGTGTGTAGATCTCGGTAGCAAGCGGTCGACTGGGGTGGCGTTCAAGCGGTTGCCGTTCTCAGCGCATCAGGATATTGTCAAGTCGGCGGAACACGAGCGTTGCCGGGTGTCGACACGCGGAACAGGCGTGGCTGTGGGCAATTCGACAGTGGTGGAGATGCGCCGTCGATAGAGGCGAGATGAGGTCGAAAAGGGGCGAGTCCGAATTGCGATGGAATGATTCAATGATTGAAGACGCAAGCTCGCGTGTCTTTGGTGGATGCACAGGGCTCGGAGAGGATTATCTCGGACGGAGGTGTCGTGTCGTTCGCCTCTAGATCAAAGGAGTGGCCAAGTAGGCGGCTGCCAAACAGGAGGGGGGTGGAAAGAGAAGAAAACGAAAAGACAAGAAAGAAGTCGGTATTATAAGGGAGAACGAGAGAGGGAGAGACTGAGAGAATGGTTCAGAACAAAAAAGGTGGTGAGTCTAAGAAAAGGAGATGAATTGCGTCCCGCGAAAAAAAAGGGTAACGTAGACAGCAAGAAGGCTAGAGCGTTTTGATAGGTAGGGTCGGGATGCCTTCTGAATTTCTTCGGGCTCGTCTTGTCTGTCAGGTCTTTTTGCGCCCCTCCCAATTGAATCTGAAAGATGATGCGCGCCTCTCAGAAAGAAGCCAGCCAGCCGTGGTCCAGGGTTTGGGAGGCTATCAGACGATGGGGAAAAGTACAGGTGCAACAGGTGGTCGCTTGGGCCTTGGATGGGTCTCTGCATGGATGGAGCAGGTACCAATACTTGGAGTCCGTTAGTGGCATCCAAGACCACCTGCATGATGCGCTAAGGTACGGGAACAACGTATGGCCCTTTGTTTCCCCTGAAAGAGGTCCAGACCGTCCTCTAGACAGGGTTGGAGAGACAGATCCGATGAGAAAGAAAGAATATGGCTATTGTGAGTAGCAGAATAGGAAGACATCAACGATAATCACTCTGATTTGTTTACTAAAGCATCGAAATATGGATGTTATTCGTCAATATCTCCGTCCAAGTTCCTAGGCTGTGCTGTATTGCTTTATGACCACCCATGTGTGATGTCTAATCTTGTGCATCGCTCGATCTGTGTAAGCTAGCCCTGGAGAAATAGAAAGAAGAAAAACCAGTATCTGGATCGAGACCGGGTTCAAGGACGGTTGCATAACGTCTTTAGTGTTCTATCTGCTGTCATGGCGAAGCGATGACAGTCGAGTTTCATTGATCCATATTTGTCGACCTACTGATTCTCTCTACATGTAGGCTTCATCTGAATGGCACCCGACCAGACTCAACCTCGCCTCCTGGAATAGGTACCAAGTTCCAGCAGTGATAGAGCCCTGGAGTCTTTATTAGGGAGCCACGTTAGGCGTCCACTCACTGTAGCGGCTCGTCCACCAGCGCTCCCCCAGGCCATGCCTACAGCGCTCTCAGCGACCCGGCACCTTATCTTATCCTCCCCTCGCCACACTCTGCACCTGCATCCCCATCTTCCCCGCTGCCGGTCGGATGAGATGGCGTCACGGCTCTTCCAGCCTGCCGGTGCTTCAACAATGAGCGGGTCACCACTTTATCGTTCAAGGCATTACATGATACCCAATACCCATACAAAAGGTGCACACTGAATCGAGGTGCTGCTGCCGTAATCAGCCTTCCTGACCCGACCATAACACCTAAACTCCGAGTTGCCCTTGATCCCTCATTCTGCTTTTGCCTGCAATGACAAATGCCCGTTGAACCACTCCGTGACATCTTCGCCCTGTAGAAACGACGTGCAACTTGACTCTCGACCATCGTGGGCAGCTCAGCAGCCAACACCACTGCTCGCAGACCAGCTCCGACTGCGCCGCATCTCCGAGACGACGAGGTGCTTCTCTGTGCCAACAGTTCCGTGATTCCCGGGGCTCTCTCACCGGCTCGTCCCAGTCGTTGTATTACGCGCTCCACGCTCTATTACCCTGCCCCGTCAACGGTTGGCTACAGCTTACACGGCCATGGACTGGATTTCGAACGATGATGATGGTGGTGTCGGCGGAGATGAATCCCATGATCGGCGGACCAGAGACACCGAGTTGAACGCATACGGTGGCCGGCCCACCACTGACAATGGCCGCGATCGCTACGGCCGTGAGGAAGCTGGCGATAATGATGATGATGGTGACGATGATGGTGATGAGGACTATGAAGACGAGAACGCGGAAGATGAAGAAGACGAGGAGGACGAGGACGAGGACGATCCCGACTATCGTGATGAGCCGAATGAGGACGAAGATGGGGATGAAGAGTTTCACGGTAAAGCGCCATGCTGTTCTTGCTTATGGAGGCCTTCTCGGGACTGCTTTACTGAAACCACCAACTTCCACAGATGCATTTGACGAGCAAGCAGAAGCTGCGGAAAATGGTAAGAACCCTCCGCATATCAAGCATTATTGATGACGACGACGGTTCCGATGATGTTGACGATAATGTGTCTAATACTTCTCTCGCAATATAGCCGCAACACTCGACGATCATATGCAGTATGCCTTTGGCGATTTCCGGTTCCAGATTGTCGTCGAAGACGAAGAGGCCGAGCAGAATGAAGCCACCAGAAGGCTGTTTTCGTTATTAAGGGGTACGACCAACTCATGTCATTGAATCGTGCCGTTGGCATCTGCCTTTTTTATTTGTCACTGCTAACCTCCATTGCCATGGCTCACAGCCGGCCAAAGGTCGGGGCTCCTCACAAGACAGCAACTCACGAGCCTCTTCCGCGGCACCGGCCTGGCGCATCATGCTGTCGAACCAAAGGATCCCAACCGATTTCCCAAGGTTCCCAGCGAGACAGGCAGAAAGCTCATGGCATCCGGAGTCTTTGGCGTCGGTGACACCGACCTGCCATCAAAGAAGACCATCGCCAGACGCCTGCTGGAGCGAGAGCTTGGGCTGGGAGATCGGGTTTGGAGGAAGAGGAACAATGGTATTCTGGCTCAGGTATGCGTTTTCCGCTCGCTTCCTCAGCATCAGGGGCCTAAATGGCCCTACACTCTCTCTGCCATATACTTACTGTTGTTCTCTTGTTTTGCTCATGTCTACTTGATATTGACTCTATTTTCACCCATCACAGAACCTCATTCCCGGCAGCAAGGCCGAAAAGATTATTCACTATGACCACCCCATCTACTCTGGCCAGTTCTCCGACGATGGCAACTTCTTCTTCTCGTGCTGTCAGGACTTCAACGTGCGCATGTACGACACGTCCAACCCATACAACTGGAAGCTCTACAAGACGGTCAGCTACCCCTTTGGCCAGTGGACCCTGACAGATGCCTCTCTGAGCCCGGACAACCGCTGGCTGGCGTACACCTCCATCCAGAGCATCGTCTCAATAGCCCCCACCGACCCTAGAGACAAGGGCGAGCCGTACTCGCTTGAGCTCGACGACGGAGACAGCCGTGCGAGGCTCTCCTTTTGGCGCAACCGCGGGTCCTTTGGCATCTGGTCCGTCCGGTTCTCGGGCGACGGACGAGAGCTTGTGGCTGGCACCAGTGCTCACTCGCTAGTCGTCTACGACATTGAATCCCGGACAGTCCTCCATCACATCACCGGCCACCAGGACGACGTCAACGCCGTGTGCTTTGCCGACAAGTCATCACCTCACATCATCTACTCGGGCTCCGACGACACGACCATCAAGGTGTGGGATCGTCGAAGCATGGGAGACAACCGCGAGGCCGGTGCCTTTGTAGGCCACATTGAGGGCCTGACGTATATCGACAGCAAGGGCGACGGGCGATACATCCTCAGCAACGGCAAGGACCAAAGCATGAAGCTGTGGGACCTGCGCATGGCCATGTCTACCGACCGCTTCCGCGAAATCACAAGGGACAACGACTCCCGCCTCGATAGGTTCGATTACAGGCAAGACGACTATGACGAAGACGACTGGGACGTGCACCCCCACGACAACTCTCTCGTCACCTTCCGAGGCCACAAGGTCCTCCGCACGCTGATCCGATGCCACTTCTCGCCGCCGTCGTCGACCAATTCGCGCTATGTCTACTCTGGCAGCGCGGATGGCAAGGTGCACATCTGGAACATGGACGCAACTAAAGCGGGCGAAATCGACGTGAAGCGGGCGACTCATCGGACGCGGAAGCTGGACCGCCGAACTCGGGTCTATTTTGACGAGCCTGGCGGCTGGGGCACCTGCGTGCGCGATGCTAGCTGGCATCCTAGTGCGCCAATCATCGTTGGTAAGTACCTGTTTTGTCCTGACCTGGACTCATTTCTTTATATGTCTGGATGCTAACCGTCTCTTCCCCTTTTTCTGCTTGGTAGCTTCTGCTTGGAATGGGTACAGCATGGCACGAGGCACTTGCAGTGTCCACGCATTCAACGAGTCTTCGGAGGACGAAGGAGAGCCCGAGATGGGAGATAGCGTCAATGAGTCGCTGAGGCCAGACCCCGAGATTTTCTACCCGTCCGGCTTTCGGTCGGCGCGATAAGGGAGGATGGTATGAGGCGTGGACTGTTTGAGTGTCCCCCGATGTTGTTAAGGATCTCGTATGTCGATGCTTTTACCGTGAAAAGTTTAGGATGATGGGATGGGTTTATGATTCTCTTTGTAAGATTTCCAGCATTTTGGTGGTGATATATGAAGCGGGCGAACTTGGTCTTGTTCCTTGGTTCGCCCCCTCTCTTTTGGCGTATCAACTTCTCGCTCGTCTTTGTGTCTTCTTGTTATCATAATTATTTTATTCTCTTTCTTCTTTCGCGTGTACCGGCTACCAGAGCTGCTGCATATTGTGGCTGCGATAGCTTGCATCTCTTGAGGGTCACTTGCTTGCTGTTGCAGATTCTGCTGCCACTCTTGTGTCACCTCAGAACCAGAAAGGCGGAAAAGGCGGACAAGGCGACAAAGAATGTGTGGCTGAAGCTGCAGCGGGTAAGAACCGCTTGAATGCACCTACAAACCTGTGGCTGGTGACTGTGGCGCATGGCTCGTGCACAGCTGTGTCTCGCTTTTTTGGGCTTCAGCCTCGCCCCCCTTGCCCTTTGACCTGTTTTGCTTCCGGCAACGACAGACGCAAGCCTGCACTACAGTCTTGGCCATCTCAAACAAAGCTTCTCACAAATCTTATCATCTCCTCCTCTCTGATCTCTGTCCTTGCAAGGTAACCTCTGCCTCAGAAGCACACAAACACACCCGCCTGCAGGGTCGGCTCTCGTTTGGCAGCCTCGTCATTCGAGAAAGCAGCTCGATCCCGCTTGTTTGTTTGCCGCGGCAGTTGGTTCCATTCGTTTGGTAGGTGTCCTTGCACAGCACAGCACTGCACTGCACTGCCGTTGCTGGCTGCTGAGGTCACTGCGCCGGCAAATCTCGGTGTCGCTGTACCCGTGGAGCAAGGTCGGGCGCCCTTCAAAGCGCAGCAAGAAGTGACGCGCCACTACCGTCTTCGCGCCATCATCCGGTAACCTTTCTTTTCCTCTTCCTTTTCCCTTTTCCCTTCCTTTTCTCTTCCCTTTCCCACTTCTCCCATTCTCCTCTCGCCTAATCTCCGTCACCAATCATCCATCTCCCCCCTTTTTCCTACTCCTTCTCCATCTGCTGGCCTCCCTATACTTCTCATTCGGTCTACTACTTTCTTTTTCTTTTCCTCCCTCTGCCGCTTTGCCCCCCTGTTCAATCCCTCTCCTCCTCCCGACCTCGGCCAATAAAGCTGTCTTGCCTGGCAGCCATCTCGCAAGCTCCCGACTGGCCGCAGCGCATTTCAGGCCTCGATCCGGTCCCACCAGACACAAACGCGAACCAATTGCCGGATCATCTCCAGCTGACAGCGAGGAGAAAACCAAGAGCTTTCCTGCTGCCGATCGAGTCTCGAGACGCCAACAACTGCCTGGCCCAGCCAGCCGAGCTAGTGACAAGGTAGAGATAAGCTTGGCCCCTCTCCCTCTCCCTCTCCTCACCTCCAATCGTCCCGTCGCTCCCGTTTCCCATCCTCAACCAGCTTCCAATCACTCTCTCCCGCCTCGCTACACGCCAATACTACTTCACGATCCGCAATTGGTGTTGGGCCGCCACCACCCACACCAGCCGAGGGACATAGGGTACAGGTACTGTGAACCTTTGGCTGCAGACGCCAACGGCAAGGGAGCAAGACAGAGATTGTCGGGCTTGGAGAGAGCTCGAACCAGCTCTTGGGCTTCGTCCTTTTCGGGGACTGTACGTACCAGCAAGTCTACCTTGCCCATTTATACGCCTGCCTGTCACACTTTTGATTCTTTCTCTCTGGTACAGCCTTGTTTGCCTACCCATCTCTGCCTTTGTGTTGTTGCTGTCACCCACCTTGTTCCCGTTCCTGTCCCTGTTGATAACTCTCCTTCTCTGGGCAAATCGAGAAGCGACGGCGGGAAGAGGGAAGACAAACACCACCAGTACGCTAGACGTTTCCGAGCCGGCCGGGCATCAGTGAATCATGGCCTTCTCCTTTCACTCTACGTGCCAACAGGCATCGCATGTATCTCGCTTTCTTGAGTATCATAATAACAAGCTGTCGTTTCATTAGTGGCGTCGCAGTCTCAATCCGAATTCAACAACGGCGACTTTCATGTAACTGTCCGCGTCGGCGAATTCCCACCAACCATCGAGACCGCCGACATGGGTGACTCCGATTTCGACATTGACTTTTACGGCGACGCCGAAGGCGATGCCAACGACCAAGCCAACGACCAGCCTCGCCAGGATGAGCGCCGCCATAGCGGTGGCAACTCGCGAGATGACTACGACTATCACAGTCGGGACAACAGACAAAGGGACCACGAACACGAAGACGACCGCCGCTATGAGAGCGGCCGCAGCGAAGATGTCGAGGAGCCCCCGCAACATCAACAACAACAGCAACATCATCATCATCATCACCAACAACAACAACAACAACAACAACATCAACAACATCACCAGCAACAGCAACAGCTGCACCATGGGGTCAAGAGAAAGTCGGAGGAGCACGAGCACAATGATCGGCCCGTCGACAACGGCGCCACAGCTGCCATTATGATTTCCGAACTCAACTGGTGGACGACAGACGATGACATCCGAGGTTGGCTGCGAAAGGCCAATTGCGAGAGGGAAGTCAAGGAGCTCACTTTCAGCGAGCACAAGGTCAATGGAAAGAGCAAAGGGTGAGTCTGCGAATACGGATCTCTTGTGGCTCGCTCATCTTTCCATCTGCTGTTTCGTATTTACTGACCTCATCTAAATTGTCTCGTCCTATTAGCCAAGCCTATGTCGAGTTCCATACCCGTCAGGCTTCCACCGCTGCAAAGCGCTACATCGACACTGTTGCCTCAGAGGGTGTGCAGCCCGGCCAGAAGAAGATGACCATTTCCTACTGGAATCCTGGCGTCAACCCCTTTAGGACCCTGCCAAAGGACGCCCCGGCCCGCGTTAAGGAGCAGCCGCGAGCCGCTCCCTCTGGGTCCTACAGCGATCGGGGCAACTACGGAGGCTTCCGCGGCCGAGGCGGCATGGGCGGAAACCGAGGCGGCATGAACCCCAACTTCAACCGGGGCTACGGCGCAAACATGGGCTACAACAATAACAACATGGGAGGTGGCGGCGGCTTCAACGGGCCAATGGGCAGACCCGGCGGCGGCGGCGGTACTCATTACGTCTTCAGTGGCCAGAGCAGCCCCGGAGGGCCCATGAGAGGCGTCCAGACCATCATCCGCGGCAGAGGCGGAGGCGGAGCCGGCGGCGGCATGATGGGCATGAACCCCATGGGAGGCATGGGCATGGGCATGCCCGGCAACATGGGAATGGGAGGGAATGATGGGTAACGCAATGCCAGGTATGCAATCTGCACACACTCACACTCTCCCCACCCCCAAGACCCCGCCCCTTCAAGTTGTCCCGGCAGCGGGTTAGAACTCCATGTCGATGCAAACACCCACTACACCATCACCAGTAATCTCGCCCACGGGCGTGGCCGATGACGGGTCACGCGAGGGGCTGCCTCAACAAGAGAATCCACTCGAGGAGGAACAGCAGCAACCTCTCCAGGACGGGCAGTACCCCCTAGACGCGCCTATGCAGCAGGCTGGTGAGCAGCAACTTGCCACGCAGCAAGCCCAGGAGCAGCCGTCCGACGAAGTCCGAGCTCAAGTGAAGCCTCGGGCAGGACAAGAGACCAGCTGTGATGACAGTGTCCACGCCGAGCAAGCGCCAGAGGCTGTGGAAATAGAGAACCCTCCGCAGCAAGTGCCACCACAGCCGCAAGTGCCGCCGGGGCAGAACCCTCAAGTCAACCCAGGAAGCGCAAGACAAGCGTCGTTTGCCAGGGGCTTTCTGGCTCCCTTTGCAGCCCGCGCGCAACAATACGGGCGGCATTACTATTCCGGCTCCAACGGCGTCAGCCTGCCAGAACCCCGGGTTTCGCTCTGCTTGATTCATGCCACGTTGACACACAACTGTGGTTTCTGCCAAGTGGAATATTGGCGTCACTACACCTTTTTCATTGACGGCTATCGTCACCATGGCCACGTTCCACCACCGCCACTGCCCATCTTTCCACGACCAGTCCCCCAGCCTAGTCCGTCTCTTTACGCGTTCCCTCGCCCTCTTAATGACACGCTGCTAATTTGTGCATAGGCTTCCAAGGCATGCCTCCCAACTTTCCAGGCGGATTCGGCTTCGGACAGCAAGGCGGCGGCGGAGGTAATAGTGGTGGTGACTGGGGCAACCCTCACGGCGCAAAGCGACCTCGTCCCGAGTAACTGACGGGCGTCAGCATGCCGTACTAGCCGCTTTCATCGCAGGATGGACGACTTGGAGCCCAGGGTTCCAATGCTTGGTTGCAAAAGCACAATGGATTGATTTGATCGTTTGGGGGAACGGGACGGGAACTCCCCCACCATATTCGTTATTTTTTGGCGGACCGTTGGGAAAATCACTTGTCAGGTTGCATCAGGAAAGGGGTTTCGTTGAGTTTTATCGTTTTTTATTCGCTCGTCAATATTCTCCTTCATCTGTGGGAACAATGTATAATAGAACAAACGCCGGGTTATCAAGATGCAAGGTTCAGAGAATGTCTTGTGGAAATCCTGTCAGCTCCTCTGTTTTTCCCTCTATCGTCTTTCTGGGATTTCATTGCTTCTTATATTCTCCCCTCGACTGTTTGCGGAGTAGGGAAAGGGGGGGCAACACAGTCCAAGCTGGATCAGGGTACGATTGAAAAGGACGGGGCAAATTGATGAGTGAACAAAGGGACAGCAATGCTGGAGTTGCCATCTCCGCTTGCATACGTGTACGTAGGTATGATGATAAGAATTTCGATGAAATCAGCTGGAATCGGAAAGTTCGCAAAGAAAGGGGAGGCTGGGTACTGTTCGAAATGCCAGCACTGCTAGCTCTGCAGCCGCTTGATCGCTGCCGTCACCAATTGTCTGATTTGGAGCCATCTATCCGTCAGGCTTCCCCTCATCTCCTCATCGCCAACAGAACTGCTAGCGAGCTGCTCCAGAGAGCTGGTGATGTCGCTGTCGTACTTGGTGAGCACCTTCAGCAGTGCCGCATTGATGACGGGGCTGTCTTCATCTTCGTCCCGTAGCCCATCTAGAATGTCTTGCCAATGCCGAGGAGGCAGGCAGAGCATCCGCAGAGCGACGTACGTGCGGTAGCATGCCGTCTGAGAGTCGAGCATGTACTTTCCCCAGAAGCCCGCAGCTTCGAGGCGCTCCCGCTGGTCAGCGGTCAAGGAAGGGCAGATGTAGGGATCCAGACACGTTTCGTCCCAGGGGTTCAGAGACGATGGCAGTGTGAAACCGTACTCTACCAGCAGCATGTCGTTGCCGTGAGGTCCGTATCGGATGAATACTTCCTCTCCAGGCTGGTGTGTCCGCGTCGTGGTGAACGTGAAGAACCTGTCGTCAAAGGCGGCGGTGCAGTATCCCTCGGGGGTGTGATTGAAAAGATCCGCCACGGGCTGCAGCGCCATATGGTCTTCCTTGGGCAGTTTGTCCGTCTTGCGATTCGTATGGTAAAAGGTTCGAGTGTTCACCAGCAGCCAGTTGTACAGATACTCATCTTTCTGGAGCTGTGGATATGCCGCCTCCACAAGAGCCCAGTCCTTGTTGAACTTTTCCTGCTGAGCTGCAAGCAAGATCTTGGCTCCTGGCGGCAACAGAGATCGCAGCTTGGCCGGCCAACATATGGGCAGGCTGGAGGCAATGTCCCGCCGAGAGGGAAAGACGGGGCGCCATTTGTCAAGTTCAGGGCTGGACTCCAGACAGAGGGAAGCAGCAAGGATGGTGTGGACAGTGGCGCCGCTGAGCTTCTTGGTGATGTCCTTGGGAGTGTTGCTGAGGGTGCGCAAAGCCGATATGGGGACTTTGAGAATGATTTCGCCGGCCTATATTTCGGTCAGCACTCGATACGCGCACGTAGGCAGGCATGAAAAAAGAGCCACTATCAAGACTCTGCTAGTAGGTAGATGTTCGTCATTGAGGACCAAGGGCAGCAGGTTTTGCTTACCTCGAGCTGCCGGGTAGCCACTATACCTATGCCTCGTCCGTGGAGAGCTTTCGGATGGATGCCGTTCAGATTGACCCCTATGGAGGTCGTCCATTCCAGGAGTTGCTCGATAGCCTCGTCCATGTTTTTTTTCCTGCGGCTGGTCGGGTGTTGTAAGTGCAAAATGACTGCTGAAAATTATTGCGATATGGCGACGCTATGGAGCGCCTTGGTGAGTCATGAGAATATAGCGCTGTCTGGTTGCGCCTGTTGCGCCTACAGTATCAAGACACTGCACGAATGTCGAGTCGCTCTGGCCACCAAATCTTGCAGCGGGTTCGGTTTGAGTTTGTGACAAGAGCGAAACAACTGGATTGTGCAGCATCAGAGTATATGTTTGAGATTACTTCCTGATTCCTTTGCTCGCGGAAAGCCACTCACATTGTGCATCGTGGTTCTTCTGATTTCCTCCTGTAGAACAGCGCCTTGTACTGTCCATGGTAGGATGCTCATCGTTTTCACCTCGACCACGTCGTTACTATAGACATATGGCCGTCGGAATGACGCCAGACCGTCTGATCGTTGCCATCGGAATGTGACTCTACCTATGTATCATAAGCAGCTGAATAGGTCTTGTCAAGGTCGGAAGGAGATGGCGCAATTTGGTTGGGGTGGTGAGGGCTGGCACCTCGGCGACTAAGACAGGAACCGATGGTTCGTTGAAGCTTCTCAAGGCGAATTCTGACAAGTAAAGTCAATTCTATAGCCGCACATTAGATTTCTGACCACTATCAATAATGAAATGCCTCTGGACTGACTCAAGATTGAACCGAACATCGCCTTGAAACGCACTCCTTGTTGAAGCAGGTATGTAAAAGCTGAGCCAAGCGACGACATTCGATCGGAGGCATATCGACCTTTCTAATCGAGAATGCGGCGCTATGTGAAACAGATTTTCGAGGAGAGGGAAAAGTAGAGGTCCTGTTCAAGGGCACTTTCTGTGCAATTGTGATGACGCCGCAAACTGTACGAGCCTCTCTGTTATCGGCGGCCATAAAGGTGCGTTGGCCTTGCAGAACAACAGCGACTGGTACGCATTGTGGGTGGAAGCAGTACCTCAATCCATGATGATAGCAAGGAAAAGAAGAGTATGAAGAAGACTGACTTGGAGCACATTGGCATCTCGTGTGAGAGTACCTAGTACCTAAATTGTGCCTACCTAGGAAGGTAGGTAGTCGGCGATAGATGCTCCTTCCTGTAGCGAACATTTCGGGGGAAGGTAGGACACTGGCTCTTTCTGACTACCATATATCACCAAAGTAGTTCCTTCCCTGTTTTGAGACCACCTCCATGTCACTCTCCCATCTCACTTGTCTCATACACAGAGAAGACATAATGTCGATTGAGAAGCAGACAATGGCTCGCAGGGTTTGTATTGGGGAGAGCACATCTCGCCAGGTCTCCTACATACTCGCTCTCGTACAGCTGCTTCGGACATTGTAGCTCGCTCATCAATAGCAACATAGTAGCTACATGAACAGGGGTAGTTGCGTAGAGCTAGAGCTACTACAGTCATGTCGACATTAGAGCCCACGATATTCTCCGCCATCATTCACCCGTGTACTCGTCTAGAAGCGTGTTTGACCTAATCATAGCCCACCAGTATCGAGACACTCTTTGGTCCTTCTACTGTGTCTCCCAGATATCTTGTCCTGGGTTCCTATCTGAAGCTGCTTGTGAGTGGTAAGCGTCATGAGTGGCGTCTTAGGGTGAGGGTGAACAGGCATTGTTACACATACCAAGATGGTTGCTCGATCGCGGCTCATTATTCTACTTCATGACTGAAGAATAAAATTGGGAATATCCCTCAGGGCCTCCGTAGACGTGTCTCGTAAGCCATCGGAGACTTTTGAACCATCCATCCAAAGACCTCCGCCTATGAAGCAAGACATCGACGTATCGATCCAGCACATGCTTTGCCCTTGTCAAGCTCCAACTTCAGAGGAGTCCGTTGATGTCACGGCGAAGCAACTAAGTGCCGTCAAAGCAGCAACAGCTCCAAAAGGGTCTCCGAGCAGGTCGGAGTGAAGTTTATTGCTGGGGACCAGATTGAACTTGTGATGTGGCCATTGGTGACATATACCCAGGGAAAGCCGTCATGAGGGCAATCAAAGACCTCGCCGCTACACCCCAGCCCTGCTGGATGATGGCCATGCCGTGTTGAAGCCAGCTGTGACAGGCGGTTCTTTGTCTTCAATCGATTACGTTGTTGCCTTCCAATGTGTCAGACTCAAAGCCATGTCAGAAGATGTAGAAGAAGCCAAAACATACCAGCAATCAATCAGAGCAAGGCTGCCCACTGCCCCCAATCATGTTGGGCGAATTCAAATGTTCCTCCTCATTGAACTGCCACTTATTCTGGGCGCCCTCTTACTAACTGGTTTGCCCATTCAACCAGCATTTGTAACGGGGCAAGCCGTGGCATCATCACCAAGGTACCACAACTCGTGTCCAGCGTCCCGCCTAGACGATCGCGTTGAGCGTAAGAGCCGATCAAGGAGTGCGGGTGATTTTGCCGCTTGTGCTGAACGTCGACGGCTCTGCTTCTTCTTGACCCTGTTCTGTTGTTGTTGTTGCTGTAGAGGCGTCGTCCGTTTCCCGAGCGAGGACTTTCCAGTCCTGGCTCCGTGCTTGTCTTGTCGACGAGAGCCGCGAGGTGCCGTCCTGGGCCTTCCTGGCGCCGGATTCTCCGTCAGCGCAGCATCTGTCATTACGACATCTCCATCATCTTCGCTCGAATCTATGTCCATGGGCTCTCGGGTTGATATCGATGGCGATGCTTCGCGTACAACGCTGTCTATCGCGGGACTTTCCAGCGCTGGCTCTGTGAACTTGGTCAAGCCGTGACTTTCCTCTCCAAAGTCTTCGGTTCCTGTGAGAGCAATCAAGTCGGCCTCTATGACTCTAAGACTTTGATCGTTGATACTCTCTTCATGAGAGTCTCGAGGTCGCTTGAGGGGGTTGTTCGCCGGAGAATCTGAAATCGGAGTAGGGTTGGCGGATTGGACTTCATCTTGGCTGGGGAATGGTCCCCCAGTAAGGTCTCTCGATGGTAGTAGCCCGTCAGGATCCCATATGCCGGCGCAGAACAGGGAGTCTGGAGCAGTCAATTCAGCAGTCGTAAGAGCTGAAGCCGTAGGAGCAGCAAGCCGTTGCGTCCTTCTTTGCTGTAGAATTTCGGCGCACGTCTCTTTTGCCCATCTTTTCCTTCCTTCCACGAGTTTGCTCGTGATGTCGTCAAGATAGAATTGTGACGGGTCTAGAGAAGTTACAGTTCCACGTCGAGGGGACGCACTTGAATTTGCAGCAGGATAATCGTTCTCCGTCGCTAAACCTCTGTGTTCATTGCCGTCATTATTCCAGTTGTCACGCTCTTCCAAATGGCCGCCGTCATCACCGCCTCTGTCGCCTTCGTCTTCGTCAACATTCTCTTTGTCGGCATCCTCTTTGTCGCCCCTATCCGGGCTGGCCAACAGCCAAGAGTTCGACTCAATGACGGCGCAGATGCTTCTCCACGCCCTCATCACCTCCTGCACGTGTTGGGTTTTTCGTTCTTCAAGTTTCGCCAGAAACTCCTCTTCAGTCGCAGCGAGTTCAATACAGCTCTCAACATCTCTCTGGAAAACATCGGGACGTCTTAAGGATAGCGTATGTCTGTTAAATCGGTCGTGTAAATCTCTGGAGAGAACCTCTGGCTGCAGGTAGAACTTCTTCCAGTCCCACTCCCATTGCCTGTCCTCTTCGGCCAACAGAGCTGGGCGGATGTGATGGAGTAAGTCATCCATTCCTGATACTCAAAGGGGAGAAATCGTGTCGGTATAGCCCTGATAGCTGAGGTCAAACGACTAACTAGCCTCCGATGTTGACACTTGACATGCAGTTGGAAGGCCTTCGACGTGGGAAGTTGGAGGATTTAACAGAAAGAAAATTTGGCAGAGACTGACGAAGAATATAGCATAGAATCAGGACTGTTATTCAGTGTCTGGTGACCCAATTCATCATCAAAGAAGGGCACAAGGAGGGCACAATAGCAACTGTGAGTAAATGCAAGCAGCCTAGCACTTGAGACGGCAGGTTAGCAGCTGCTGCACTGAAACTCGTCACTACACAAACTTGGCTCATGTGGAGATGCCGTCCTACCTTGTGAAACTCACATTGACCTCACTTTGCTGTAGAATAGCCATTCAATGAGCCAACCGGGCGTTTCTGCGTCGAATAGCAGCCGGGCTGCCATGTTGTTGGTACCTTATTAATGGGTTGCAGGGTGGATTGGTGATGGTGGCTGTATAATGTGTGTTTGGCCGGCGTACTGTTTGCGACATGGCATTGCCGCCAGAGCGTCCTATAGGTAAGTGAGGATTCAGAACAAAGACGTGGTATAGTCACAATCAATCATCATGTACAGAATACTGGGGTTCAGATCCATGGTACGCTTTACATGATTCTAAACCCCGGTATCATAATCGATGTGTAAATGTTATAGATCTCAACTCCTGCTACTTTAGTGTCCGGGGTCCATCATCTCCAACGGCGTCAGACGGGTCCACCCCTCCAGCCATTGATCGGATCGCTACTACTAGTAGTAGCTTCTTGTTATTGGAGGCGATTCTCTTCCTTCTGAGATGGCACTAGTAGCAGATAAAATAGTCGATAATACTAGTAGCTGACGGGACCGGGGGGGGAGAAGAGGGATCACCCCTGAGCTAGATGCCCAACGGCGCCAGCCTCGAGCTTTTTCGGCATTGACCTCTCTTGTCTTTGTTCCGTCTTTTTCTCCTCCTCCCCACCAGCTCTGCCCTGATCACGAACCGACCCCCGGCCAGCACCATGGAATTATACGGCACAGGCAAAGGCGGCGTGGGAAACAATGTGTGCGTCGTTGGCACGGGCGTCACCGGTCTGCTGGCGGTGAAAAATCTGGTCGAGCAGGGATTAAACGTCAGAGCCCTGGAGCAGAACGAGTATCTCGGAGGCAATTGGCACCATTCACTGGACGCGCAGCAAGTGTCGGCGCTACCGGAGACGAGGGTCAACATGTCGAAAGAAACAGTGAGTGGCTGCCACTGCGATTGCGCTTGCGATTGGACTCCTGCGAACAAAGGATCTCGCCTTTGTCTTTGAATTATCCTGGGCACGTGAGAGAACGAGACGCTCATGGGCAAGTTGTCATTGTACAGAATTCCTTTACCGATTTCCCAATGCCGGATGGTAAGTTTTCCCTCACAGAGAGAGAGAGAGAGAGAGAGAGAGAGAGAGAGAGAGAGAGAGAGAGAGAGAGAGAGAGAGAGAGAGAGAGAGAGAGAGAGAGAGAGAGAGAGAGAGAGAGAAAGAAAGGAGGAAAACGGACAAAGCTGTAGACGAGGGCTTTGCTAAACCATCCTGTCCCTACCAGACTATCCGTCATTTCCTTCCGCGCAACAGATCGGCAACTACCTCGAGGCATACGCAGACAAGTTCGAACTGATCAAGCACATTGAGCTTTCGACGGCCGTTACGAGCATCCGACGAGACGAAGAGGACGGCGTCTGGGTCGTTTCGACAAAGCACACCAAGACGGGCGACGAAGAGGAGCGAGAGTATGACAGAGTCGTCCTGGCGACGGGCGGCTTGAACGTCGTCAACATGCCTGAGATCAAAGGCATCGAAAAGTTTGCAGGAGACGCCATCCACTCTCGCGACTTCAAGGACCCGACGAGATACGCTGGGAAGAACGTCCTGGTCGTCGGCTTGGGATCGACCGGAGCAGACACACTGAGCTTCTTGGACAAGGCCGGCGCAAACAAGCTGTACCTCAGCAGCAGGAGCCGGTGCTCCTTGGTAGGTAGTCTCGAGCTCGCGGCTAAGGAGTGCAAGAAAGCCGCTGACAAGAGTTTGCTTGATGCCGACATCTAGATCCCCAGAACCATCCGAGGACGACCGTGGGACCATTACATGACACGCCGCAGGGACGCGAGAATACGAACGCTGTTGCGACTGTCTCCCAACGCCACAAACTACTTCGCCGGCAAAGCCATTGGCCTCGTACAAAGCTACGCCTTTCCCACCCTGAGGGCGCATCCCTGCTTTAGCGGCGCTGTCAGCGGTCCGTTGTACCGCAGCCCCTTTGTGTGCGACGACCTGCCGGAGCTTTTGGACAGCGGCCGTGTCAAGGTCTACCCCGGAATCATGGGAGTTGCCGGTCCACGAACCGTCGTGTTCAAGGACGGCAGCGAAATCACCGACGTCGACGCCATCATCTTCTGCTGCGGCTACTATCACGACCTGTCCCTCGTCCAAGGAGAGGGCCATCCTGCGGATGCTGACTATTCCATGGACGCGTTCGAAGAGCTCAAGTCGGCAAAGTATTACAATCAAAAGTGCCAATACCAGAGGCTATACCATGGCATCCTGTCTGAGCGATACCCAGAGTCACTAGCAGTCTTAGGCAGCCTGACGACTCTGCGGCCTACCTTTGTGCTCTACGACCTTGCCACCATGGCACTCGCCAGTATGTGGTCCGGAAGCTACCCGCTGCCCTCGCCGCGAGCAATGAAGAGGGAGATTGATTCTCATTACAACTTCGTGGTGCGAGCCCTCCAAAACGGCCCGCTGGCCTATCTGGGTCTCCGTATAGATCTTCGAGGCACATATGCCTGGCTCAATGATGCCGCGGGCACGGGTGTCATAGAACGACTCGAGGGATGGGGCTGGGAGGCGTGGAAGTTCTGGTGGAAGAACAGGACGCTGTACAAGTTCATCATGGACGGGCCCAACGTCCCAGCGGTATACAGACTCTTTGACATGGGCAGAGGGAGAAGACCGTGGGCCGGAGCCCAGGCGGCCATTGAGAAGGCCAACCAAAGACAAGTGGAGAAGGTTGAGGAGATTCAACTGGTCGAAGCAGCTCCGGTGGTCGCCGAGGAGGTCGAAGCCGCCAACGAGGACAAACCGGACGAGACAGAAGCCGCGGATGATGACGTGGACGAAGAAGACCTGGTGGAGAAGGCTGAGGCTGAATGAGTAGACAAGCTGTGTGTCATTCGTCAAAGTCAGACAAGAGTCGGGTGAAGCAATGGGGAAGAGTGGGGGAGGGCAGGCCGCGGATGGCAGCCGAGAGTCAACAAGCAATGGCGATGGATGATTTTGGGGGCCCAAGGGCAACAGAACAAGCAGAAACACAGAGGAGTCTGGGCAGAGATGCGTCGAGGACTGGAAGGAGAGAACACGCCCCCTTGAGCAAACATCTCGCGCGGAGCGGGTGAAGCATGATAATGAGATATGATAATGAGACATGAAGCACATGAACAGAGGGGTCCACGCCTCACGGCCATACAACCCTTCCTTCACACCGCCAAAAAAAAACTAAAGACCCCAAGGTGCCATGTACTAATATTCCTGGAGAAGACTAGGCAAGGCGGCCCGGTATATGCACGCGGCTTGTCGATGATGGATCTTGCGGGCTGCCTTTTCTCAGGCCTGCAGCTGATGGGCTGGAGGCTGGAGGCTGGAGGCTGAGAGGGTGTGGACGGAGCAACACCCGGGATCCTGCACCATACGTGAAAAGTGGCTTGCAACCCTTGCTGCTGCAATATACAGGGGAAGGATGTGGCTATCCGGGCCTTGGGACCGACGGGACAGGGCTTTCGGGGGGGCTTCACGACTTCTCCTTGGGATCATTTGACGTGGTGGAAAGCCACAGAATGTTAGCAGGCCTTGATTTGGTTGTTTGCTTGCTTGCTTGCTTACTTGCTTGCAGTGAGACTATTGCCCCCATGATGGGTAGAAATGGGGATAGTACATCGTCAGGCGAGCAAGGGACACATTGTCCCAGCTGCGTAGAGCCCAGCTTGAAGAAATTCTGTTGGTGCTGATGAAGGCGGGACAGACAAGGGCTCTTTTTGAAGAGGAAGAAGCCGGCTCAGGAAGAGAAGACTGGATAGCGTAAGTCGGCCAATATAGCGTAAGTCGGCCGAGATAACGTGGCTGGAGGCTGAAGCTATCGCCGTCCCCATGCCCACCCTGCGATCACTACCCGTCCTCTGGATTCGAGCACAGCGCTGGATACCGGGTTACCGGTGCTGATCTTCACCTGTGCCGTTCTCTCTGGCCTTTTTTTCTTTTCTTTTTCTCGTAGCACGTGGTAAGATTACTGAGAGACAATGAAGCACCGTACTTGACGATCTCTTCCCGGAGCGCAGACTATCGGCTGGCGTCCGGAACAGCAGCAGTATCAGGCACTGAGACAGCGGGACTTGTTTGTTGGCATCGCATCCTGACATTTTCTTGATTGTCATGTTTGTTGCGCCTTGCGAGTCATAACGGGCGCCTCTTTTTGTTCCCTTCCTCTTCGGTGGCTTTCCCCCCCCCCCCTTTTTTCCCCCAGTCGCAACTTGACCTGGCCTGGAGCTGCTTGCCGATATAAAATCATTGCTTCAACTGCATTGCCATCGACTTCAACTTTGTGTGCCACAATCCATCAATCGATCCATCATCCGAAATCTCAACGTGCAGTCATGATGACATTCTCTCTTACCAACAAGAACAAGGTAGCTTACCTAGTCTCGAACCTTTCACCATCTTGAGATTGAGTCGCTAACCAGAAGCTCTCTAGAAGGTGTCATTTGCCGTCCCGATAAAGCCAAAAGAACCTGCCCTCACGGAAGACGAACTGCGAAGCATCTTGCCTGCTTCTTTCCGCAATGGCTCCGCCTGGATAGGCCCGCCACACAACCGTGTCCGATACTTCCTGGCGGACGACCTCAACATGAGCAAGTTGACCGAAGCCTCGGCCTACTTCTTCGTCCTCGGCAAGGTCAAGTCTCCTCGACCTCTCCACTACCAGCAAGCTCTCGGCCTCGAGATCCAGGTCAGCGAGCGGCTGGACACGCACCTGCTCTGGGCCAATGGCAAGATCTACATCAAGCCGTTGCCGCGGTACCTCCTCGAGCCCAAGTTTTGGACGGAATACCTCGACTGCCCCAAGTCGTGCCCGTACGCCACCGACTTTCATCTTCTCCGAGAGTCGGGCCTCATGCGGCGCAGCGCCCAGTTCTCCCAGGAGGTGCCCTGCGAGCACAGCAAGCTCTGGAAGTGCGCCATGGGCTTGGTGTACTCGTACGTCGCCCTCGTCGCGCACGAGAGTGACTTTGCCATTGCACAGTCGCACAAGCTGGTGCCTGACAGCTTGGAGTTTCACGAGTGGAAGCTGTTTGTCGATCGGATGCTCCGCGGCGGCAAGCTCTACGGCCAAATCGACGAGCGCTTTACCTATGGCGAGCTGGACCTGGCCCGTCTCAACACTGTCATGATGCTTCACCGTCCTCTTCGTTATCTGTCCCCATGGGGTGGTGATGACTCGGATGGCTTCTTCCCAGGCCACCGATTCTCGCCGCTGCCGGCACTGTCGACGGCCGTAGCCACCGTCTTGTTCTCTTCGGAGCAGACGAAGCTCGTTATGCTCAAGTTGAAGCAAAACAAGTCCCTTGTTCTGGTCATGTATGTCACCTGCATTCTCCTTTCCACGTTATACTGCTTCTCGATGCTAACGTTGACATAGTGTGATCAGCTGCTTGTGGATCATCTTGTACTCTATCTTATTCATGGGCGAAAGATCTCGAGAAACTCGACTTTAAGCAATAAAGATGGTGAATGCGGAAGATGAATGAAAGGTATGGATCTTGAATCCAATGGGCGTGAAAGTAGCGGATCATTCGTGGCTAGGAACACAATCTCTTCTTTGGAGTATTCGGCTTCTTGTTGGATAATGGTTGAAGTCTTGAACTTGAAGAGATGGCTAGTACATGTTGTAATCGCGAATTCTAGATGCTTGGTTCTTTTCTTAGTAGGAACGGCGGAGAATTGTCAAAGAGTAACATCAAAATGCCTCGACTGCCTGTGATCCCCCGACAGATGTAGTAGTGATTATGGACTAGAGTGCGAGTTAATGATGTTCATTAGGTAGGTAGTTCAATGATGATGCATAGGTACTGCCTATGTTTCCATGGCCTTGATACTCGGGTCTCTTGATAGCATCTTCATTAGCTAGCGCAAGCGTACATGATCACCTAAGAGTCATCATAATAATCTTGGGAGGCAGCCATGGGTGAGAAAGAAGAGCAGTCTACAGTGTTCATCACCAAGAGAAATGAGGAAATAAAGAGGGATCACGCCCGTGACAGCATTGTGTGTACGGCAATACAAGGGACGGGAGTCACACGTCTTAGGAGCATTCGGACGATGATTGTATTAACTCGACATTAGTACCTCGACTAGAGAACAAATGAAAGGAAATAAATAGCGACAGTGGAAAGAAAGAAGAGAGATAACCACTCCAGACGCCTCCATTAAGGGCTCAATGAGAGCACAACAAACCAGTCTAGGGACGGGGTTAGGCATGATACCGCGCAGGCAGATATTAAACGGCCTCGAATTGCAACTCTCGCTCTCGCCATCGTCTCGCATCTAGCAATCGATTTCTGGGCACCTTAGTGGACGCTCTTGTTGCTGTAGGGGAGGACAAGGACGCCTTCAAAAGCGAAACCTCGGCCTGTTGATGATATCCATGGTGGGGAACATACGAAGGGCAAGACGTGTGTTGAGGCCGATGATCTTCAGCACAGTTTCGCCGGTGAGATCCTCGCTGCCGCGATACCTGCACATGGAGGTATGATCGCCGTAGATGGGGAAATACTTTTCCCAGTATTCGGCTCTGGCATTGAACTTGGTATCTTCCTTCTCAACAAGCTGGAGCACAAGGGTCTAATCAGTATCTGCAGGTGAAGGACAGCAACTGAGTGACATTGTCGAAGCAACAACTCACAACCATGCCGGTGCCGCGGTAAATGCTGGTGCCATGAAAGTTGATGATGACGCGTCTGCGGTAGAGCCGTCCTCTCGCCTCCACGGGGGCCATGCGCTCGACGTGCTCTTCGCATGCCTTGTCCAGCTTGTCGAGGACGTCAGGGGCCGTGGGGTTGACGGCAGCGCTGGCAATGTTTCGCACAGACTTGGCCACGTTGTGGTGAGGCGTGTTGAAGAAGGCCAGCATACGAGTGCACTGATCAATGATGTGAATGGTGCCCGTCTTGTCCAGATGAGCCTTGGCCAGCGCCTAACAGTTTGCAGCACGGCGACGTGCAGGTGTCAGCAGGCAGGCGACTTCCGAGAGGTCAAGGGGAAGAATGCAGAGTTGAGACTCACCTCCTTGACAATAAGTCCGCCAACGCCGTGGCAAAGGAAGACGATCGGTCGAGTAGGATCCTCGAGCCGATTCTCCATGAGCAGTCGGAGAAGATGATCGCCATGTTTGACGAAGCGCGAGTCTTCTTCAGTTACGGCAAGGCCATCATTCCAGGAGAAGAGCATGACTCGACAACGCTTCTGGTAGCAGCTGGGAAGGACATCTCTGGGCCAGAGCTTGCTAGAGTAGCTCCAGGTGTTTTTGTGCACAAAGTACTTGGCCTCGATGTTGAGGCAGTGAACGGTAATGATGCTGAAACCGAGTTGAAGATTCAAGAGAGAGTCAGTAAGCGGCACAGGCATGAAAGGGTGCCAGAGGCGAATGGAAGAACCCTCGCGTATAGAGTGGGAAGCAAGATGAAGGAAGCGAAAGCAAGAATGCTGTACGTACTCAACCTCTATCCGCTCATACGGAGGGATAACGTCCGAGCGGTAAGGGAAGATGGTCTCAAGATCGTAGTGCTCCATGTGTTCTGAAAATATCATAGGCATGGTCAAATCGATCGTAGGAGCTGCAGATTTCCCAAAGGAGATGGAGGACCTCCCGATAGTGAAGTTCTAGGAGGAGGAGGAGGATGAAGAATGGGGGGGAGAAGGGAAGAGAAGGGGGTGGGCGAGTTGGGTTGGTGAGGAAGAAGCAGGAGGAGAAGAGAGGGAAGGAGAAAGGGAAAAGCCGGTCAAGCCAGACGGAAAGAACAATGTGAGTTGCAGCTGCTGCGGTCGATGCGTCCGTTTGCTCCTGCGTTTGCAGTCGTTCGTATTCGTGTTTACAGCTGGCTGGGCACCCGAGGCGTGGCAGCTGGTGTCGACCGTTATCACTGGATCGATATCTGCCTTGAATACTACCTACCTACCTAGGTACTCAGGCAGTAGCTGTGACTGTTTGCTGCTTAGAAGAGAGGAAGAACCAGGAGTCAAAGAAGCCCCCTTTTGAGCAGCAGGGACGGCAAATTGGGAAGGGCTTGTTGACGGAGAGTCTCTTACATGGAGGGCCTCAGAATGGCAAGTCTAAGCAACGAGAAGCTGTGCTGTTGTGGTTGGAGAACGAGTTACACAGGAAATGGCGTCGACCGGGAGAAAGAGGAATAGAGTGGGGAAGAGAAGGACATGAGAGGAGAGAAAGGGGGGGAAGAGAGTTTGATGTCCAAGTGCAAGTTCCCGTGAGTAGATGCAGCCAGGATTGAAAGAAGCAAAGGTTGCAAGTGCCTCTGAGAGAAGAGGCGAGGACGCGAGGATATCAATGAACTCCTGTCAGGCTGCGAAGGTGACGGAGTATGAGAATGAGGAGGCTGGGGCAATCTGGAATCAGCAATCGATTGTAGGATTGGAAGATGAACGAGAGCAGAGTAATCTACGTGCGAAGAATTGGACAAGAGAAGAAGGGAAAGGAAGCAAGATAAATACAAGAATCGAGACAGAATCTGCCACAAGATCTATCTGTAAGTGCATGTACCCAGAGATGCTGTGATGACACACACCACACCAATGTCTTCCGGCTGCGAGAGCCAGAGCCCAGATGCGTGCCTGGTTTTGGAGTAAGCCGCCGGCAGATTGCTGCTACATTGTGTTGCGTCTATCTACTTTTGCGTTCAATGCTGGGCGTTCTTTTGCTTGCTTAAGGGTAACTCTCCACGGCAACTGTCGACGAGATACCCAACGAGGCACACGCTCGAGATGTCGATTCCCAATGGCCCGAGCAAGAAGCCCAACGACAGCCAGCCAAACTCGCTCTCTCTCTCTCTCCCTCTCCCTCTCTCTTCTTTGACTCCTCCCCTGTCTATTTCCCCCCTCTATCAAGAGCTGCACGCGGAAAACGAAAGTACGCAGAGCAGGCCGTCACTGCGTTACACGAGTTATGCGCCCAGAGCCCAAAGGACTGCTCTTGTGTGGCAGCTTTAGATTTGTGCTCCCACATCTTTGTGGGGTTTCCCCCTCCAATGTGCTTCCCTGATGCCGTGCAGTCTCTCTGCGTCTGCCGGGGGACGTGTAGCTACCTTTCGTGCCTTTCTTTTTTTCTCCGCTGGGGATCACTGATCGGCTGTGACAAGGAGGGGAGGGGAAAAGACAGAAACTGTGCCGCTGCCGCTGCTGCTGCTGTAGTAATGAACCAATTTTGTAGCATGGTTTCGAGTAACTTGTTCAGAGGAGAAGGAGAAGAAGAAGAAGAAGAAGAGAAAGAAGAGGAAGAAGAGGAAGTAGCAGCAAGAGCATGGCTTGATTGATATTTGCATGTCTTGAGCGTCTCGTCCAAGTGCAGCCCGTCCTGTGACCGAGACTGTCACGAGCGTATATTTACTGGCGGTTGTCTGTGGCATTGAGTGCGCATCAGATCGGAGATTACCGGCGGATCTGCCGGACGAGAGAGACGACAGGATTCTGACATGACATTCAATGTCTCTGACGCTGGTTGAACACCAGAAGCACGTTGACGAAGCACGTTGATTATGAGTATGAGCGCTTGGGCATAATGCAGCGACCACTACCTTACCCGGTATCAAGGATGAGGTGCTGCTGCTGCTACTACTGCTACTACCAGTAGTAGTAGTATGCCCTCAATTCTAATCAACAAGTCAGTGCGTGTCCCCTAGTGCCTACTAAGACTTGGTTGAGCCGCCATTACATCAGTTGTGACCATGGCCTACCTTATTCGATGTGGTAATACAGAGGCCAGCCTCGAATCGTGTGGCAGGCATCAGAGACACATCAAGACAATGACGCCGTGACGTTTGGTGAACCAGATTTACGACTCAACTGAACTGAACCAAACCATTTCAAACCAGAATGAACTGACCCTGAACTAGGTAATTCAAGTCAAGGTCGAGCTCTGCCTCTTCTATCACTTGTACAGTAAAAGTACCTTTGCTGCAAACCACTCCACAAATATTGGGCTAGCCAGGTAGCTCACAAGGTAGGTCGGCCGGCAGTCATCCGATCGGACCAAAAATCTTGATTCCTCCTCCACCTCAACCTGAACCTCCGTCTCGCGTCTTCTGGTTCTGTCGGGCTTCAGTCTCTTCAGCGAAGCATACACCTGAGGAGCATCTCGACCTCTCGCATCGTCCCTTTTGACATTACAAAGACGCCAGAAAACTGCGGCTGACAGCAAACAGACGGCGTGCGGGAAATCAAGACAAGCCACGACAAGGGGGGGAGTGTCGCAGCATCCATCGCGCGGAGGCACTTTCGTGATCAAACTTGACTGCTTGATTTTTCTTCTTCAACTTCTTCTTCTTCTTCCTCTTCTTCTTCTTGTTCAACCCCTGCTCTCTTCTCCCTTGCTCATACGGAAAGACACCCGAGTTTTAGTCTCAGCTGCTGGCGAGGCACCGCGTCTTTGCTGCATTAGTGGCGCTGCGCTGAAGGACGGAAATGGAGGCGTCGCTGGTGAGAGTCCGGTCTGGACTCGGGGCTTCTGTGGCTTCTGCGGCTTCTGCAGCCTCGGCCCCCTCGATATTGTCGGCGTCCACGTCCTCGTCCTCGTCCTCGGCTTCACCACGATCATTGCCATCACGGGGTCAGCATGCAATCAGCCGCTCCTCGACGACCACGAACACGCCCTCGACGGCCGTAATGGCCCGCCGCTTCTCTGCACTCAACCGGCCTCCGCCCAAGTATCCTGGCCATGTACCTCTGACCAGGATCGAGCAGGCAGGCATGGCGCTCGGATCCGGCATCATGTCGCTGCTCAACCCCTACCGTGCTGGTACGCCCTGAGTTGTCATCTCATACGATGTGCTTCTTTTTTTTTTTTTTCTTCTTCTTCTTCTTCCCGTCTCTCTCATGGCTTCTCATGCTCCTCCAGCTCCTTTTTCCCCTTCCCCCCCTTCTCTTAACCCTTGCGATGCTACATCAAGCCGATGCTATGCTACAGTTTGCCCTATCCTGCTCTTTGCCATGTCGGTTCCCTAGCCCGGGTTCCTTCAATTCCCTTGCCCGGTGTTGTTCAGTACTTCTCTCCTCCCAAGTTCTCCTTTCTAAGACTTGGGGGCTAGAGGTAGCAAACAACATGTTGGGTCCGCTTTTACAGGATTCGCACGATGAGTTGACACCCCCCCTTGTCTGTTTCTCCCCTCCTGAGTGAGAGAGTGTGTGCGTATGACGAAGGGAGGAGGGCGGAGACTTGAGGCTGAGGGGTGGAATATGGAGACCATGATACAGAGCAAGACATGATGCACTGAAACCGGGAAAGAGACGATGATTGTGATGGCAGACCTGACATGGCATGCCACGATATGACACACACAAACACCCCCTCGCACACACACATTCACCCACACACATTCACCCTTACACACTCACACATACACGGCGAGAGAGGTGGAGAGAGAGAGACAGTGAGAGACATAGAGGGACACACCCGCAGAGACACACATGATAGGATTCTGACGCTGGCAAATCTCTGCAGATCTCATAGCCACCCTGGGCGAGACGACGGCCACCCCGTACTTCATCTACCGCCTCCGCGACGCCATGCTGGCGCATCCCACAGGCCGCCGCATCCTTCGGCAGCGCCCGCGCATCAGCTCCAAGACGATGAGCCTGCCGGCGCTTCGCGCCCTGCCGCCCAACTCGGTGGGCCGTGCCTACGCCTCCTGGCTGGACCGCGAGGGCGTATCGCCAGACACCCGGTCGCCGGTGCGGTACATTGACGACGAGGAGTGCGCGTACGTGATGCAGCGGTACCGCGAGTGCCACGACTTCTACCACGCGCTGACGGGCCTGCCCACGGTGCGCGAGGGCGAGGTGGCGCTCAAGGCCTTTGAGTTTGCCAACACGCTGCTGCCCATGACGGGGCTGAGCATGCTGGCCGTGGCCACGCTCAAGCCGGCCGAGCGGCGGCGCTTCTTCAGCGTCTACATGCCGTGGGCGGTTAAGAACGGCGTGCGTAGTCAGGACATTATCAATGTCTATTGGGAGGAGCAGCTGGAGCGGGACGTGGACGATTTGCGGAGAGAGCTGGGCATTGAGCAGCCGCCGGACCTGCGGGAGATTCGCAAGCGGGAGAAGGAGGATAAGAGGCGGCTCAAGGAGATGCGAGAGAAGGGGATTTGATTGAAGTGGGCGGTGTTTTGTGGTAGTGATGAGGAAGAAGGAGAGGAAGAAGAGAAAAAAAGATACCATCTCAGCTTTTGCCCATGCCTTTGTTTTCAAAAGTGACGAGAAACCGACCAAACATTAAAGAATCTGAATAGGGTAATCGTAGTTCAAGAGGCTCTGAAAAAAAAAAGGAGAAAACGAAGAACAAGAACAAGAGAAAGACGACGCCCATGATGCCCGCTCACAAGTCCAACAAGTCGTCATCGTCATCGTCCCAGCCCTTGCGCCTGCTCACGACAATCTTCTCCTGCTCCTGGTTGTCCGCCACGGCCGTCAGCAGGTCCTTGAGCTGGGCCTCGGTCACCTTCTGCCGCAGCTGGCCCGTCTGGGCGAGCGTGATGAGCCGGTTCTCGATGTCGGTCGCGCGCTGCTCCTTGACGAGGCGGATGCGGCCGAGACGGTCCGCGGCCTCTGGGTGGAGGATCTGGTTGAGGATCTGCTGCCGGGCTTCGTCTGCTTGTCTGGGAGGGGGGGAAAAAGGGTCAGTCAGAATTTGATCCCTGCGCTGGTCTGGGGCAAATGGGTTAGAAGAACTCGGCTACTCACTGTCTCTGTCTCTCTCCGTCTTGGCCGGAGGGACCGCCGTTGCCTCGGGGAGCGCCGCCTCCCTGCGCCTTGAGCTGCTCGAGACGAGCTTTGCGGATCTGTATAGGGGGAGACACGTATATATGAGACATGAACTGATGACGAAGAACCAAGTACTCATGTGGTAGGACTTACCTGTTCCAGCTCTGATTCGTCCATTTCGTTGTTACGATCGTCAACAACGTTTAAGTTGGTGTTCTTCTAGCAGTTGACAGTCGTCATAGTTGGTTGCGGGGCCCTTTTTTCCCATGTCAAGCTTGATAATCTGGTGCTTTGGAGGGGCAGCTGTTGCCCACGTGATCATTGATAGAGGGTAGGTGGGAATAGCTGCAAGAAGGCATCCATCAAGAAGGAACACGTTGGCTGCTACGATTCACCGAGGAGAGTTGGGATCTGTTGGAGCATATAGAGAGATGGAAAATCAATTTTCATGAGAAGAAAAGTAAACAAACACTTGCAATCTTGGAGAGGAAGCACCTAGAATCAACCCCCCCTTAACAACTAACATCCATCATCCATCGAGTCATCCACCAAATCATCCACCAGCCCAGGAGAACGCCCATTTTCGAAAAGAAAGAAAATAAAATAAAATAAAACACAAGATACGATACCTTGAACCATCATTGATGAACAAAGAAACCATACATCACCTACCTGTAATCAAGCTCAAGATTCATCACCCCTTGGCGGCAAAGATGGGTCGAATCTCAAACTCTCCGTCTTCCCTCTCGGCAAGCCGCGGCGCCAGCTCTGCGCCCATCTCCTCCATCTGCGCATACATCTCGGAGGCGCTCCAGATGCATACAGATTCCCGGCCTTTCCAGCCAAACTGCTTCTTTTCCCGATCCCACACCAACGACTTGCTCCGGAGATCCTTGACCCTCCACCGCTGATACCGCAGCCGCTCCCTCGCCTTGGTCCTGTCCCCCTTGGCCAGCATCGTCTCCCGCACAATGTCCATCTCAATGTCCCAGACAATGTCAATCGCCCTCAGGCAAGGGTACCAGTGGGAGATGTCGGCCAGCCCGGAGGTGTCGCGCCAGATGGTTACGTGAGGGACGGCGATGCGCGTAATCTCAGCGGTGTTGTTGACCACGAGACCCATGAGGTCGGGTTCCGCCAGCCGGTTGTGAGGCTCGTTGCAAAAGGGGCGCCACTGGTCAATGCCGACAAAGAGGGCGTCACGCATGGGATCGAAATGGGGCACAAAGACGGGGCATCCCCTGGCCTCGTTGTAGTGCATCGTGAAGCCATGCTTGCGAACCCAGTCCACGGCGATGCCTCGGGCCTCGCGGTTGACAAGCGCCATGGCAATGTCGACGTGGACACCCCTCAGCTTTTCGTGATGGAAGCTGAAAGCGATGGGTTTGTCGCTTGTGCTGCCGCTACTGTTGAGAGTCCTTCTGCGTTTTGCCTTTGGTAGATTGCGAGGACCCCAGTATCCCTTCTGCCAGTTGTGCATTGTGATGCAGTCGATATCTGGCAGGCTCAGACGCCATATCTTCAAGCGCAGTTCCGTAGGAAGGCGGGAAAAGCGAGAGAACGGGGCTGGTTCTGTGGAAGATGCCATGGGTGACCTCGATGGATAGGTTTTCAAAATATTCTTCTCTGTATCATGTCAGGTTTTGATTCTTATGTTTGGAGTCTGCTGTGCGCAGATTCCCCAATTGAGTGGTGTCAGTGTAAGTTATGCCTCACAAGATAAGGCCGACCTGGAACTGGAAGTGGTTCCGTATAATTGATGTAGAGGAGATGGAAAGAAGATGGGGCAAATGAACAGGGGATGAGCAACGAAGAAGCCGAGTAAATGAGGAGAAGGAGAAGAAGAAGGGGATTTAGGCATTCATATACGTACAAGCAGAGTGTTTGACACAAACTCTGATGACATAGAGTTGAGCTTGAGCAGGCTATATTACCTACCTTACTGCACCTTACTGCACCTATTTGGAATGCGCCAAGCGGCTGCACACGAGACACACAGCAAGCCTAGCCAACGCATCCCCTCCCCCCTTACATTACCTTGCCAGCTTTATCCCTTGCTACTACGGCAATCCTCCCGCATATATTGACCCCGCTCGACCGTCCCCATGATTGAGATGGCTGGACTATCCCCCCGACTAGCAGCGAATAGGTGACGAATACCGAAACCGAGTGCTCCGTACAGGATGTTGCGGGCGAGACCGAGGCGGCCCATCGAGGACCAGGATCATCAAGTAGTATGATGTGATGCTTGTGGAAAGGGAGGGGGAGGGGGAGGGCACAGGTCAACAAGCACAGTAGATGCGGTACAACCCATGATGTGTCGCATTGCCTTCCGACTCGTTACAAACTCTTTGAAAATGTAACCAGGAACAGTGACATGCAATGCTTCGATATCCAAAGAAGAAGAATAGGCTCGGAATTATGCTGTGTGTGTGTGTGTGTGTGAGCTTTGTGCGCTCGCCAGGGCCTTGACCCTTTGTGCTGAGGCTCGTGATGCAGCGGACTGAGACTGCACACGCCAGGCGTAAGGGTAACATTACCTGATCTTCAGCCAACGAGCCATACTAGTAGTTGGGCATACATGAGAGAAGAGGCCCTTTAGGGACTAAGTATAAGTACGATGTAAGCCGCATCAAACACGTTCCCAGCGTTCATTCGCCAGGGCAATAGTAGTGCAACAGTGACGGCACCAAACAGCGACTACAGAGTCAATCTGAGGAGCAAGAGATGCTAGAGATGCGCGACGGGTGAAAATGTATAGTTGTATAAAGATCCGTCTGTCATGTCATACCTGGTTCCACGCCAATGCTAATGCCCGAGATAGAAAAAAAAAAAAAACTTGAAAACAAGCAGGTGTACAGAAGTGGACTCGTTGTATTCCCAAGCACCCCCTTTTCCCCTTGAGTCCTTTATACCAAACCCCATGAATGTACTTCGTAGTCGTTACACGAGTCAATGTATGTAACTTGAAGTCGGCTTACACAAGCCTGTTGCCTCGTGAATTCGGCGGCAGGGTCCGATATCGAAACGAGAGGTGGCTGGGCACCGAAGTCTCCTCGACGGGGATGTACGAGTTGAGCCGCTCGATGGCCAGCGAGTGCTTGGCCTTGATCATATCCCTGATCATGAGGTTGGTCGGGGTCTGGATACCCAGCTGGTGGCCGCGCCGGATGAAGAAGCCGTTGAGGTAGTCAATGTCCGTTGGCAGGCCGTTTTGGATCTGCCGCGCCAGATCGCTCGAGGCGCTTCGTCTGGCCATGATGCGGCTGTAGATGTACTGCTGAATCCGGTTGCCCCGTATAAAGTCCCGGATTGTGGCCGAACCCTCGACCTCCGGCATGTTGTCCACAACTGAGACGATCTCGGCCAGCAGGCGCTGCATCATCCGCCGCGCAGCCGGATTCCGCTGCAGGCCGGCGTACGGAATCTCCATCAGCACGCAGACGGGCTCCACGACGGAGTCCAGTATGACTGACGGAAGCTTGAAGCGCAGCCACTTGTCAAAGGGAGTGAGCGACGAGTTGAGGTCCTTGACGCCCTCAATGGTCCGGACAAAGTCGGTGCGAGACTCCGTCTTCTCCACGTCTTTGCCCAGACGGGTGCCAGAGTCCGCAAACGTCAGCTGCGTCATGCCGTACCGCAGCTCTCTGACGGAGTTGGTGCGTCGGTCAAGCGCCAGTCGGTGGCTCATGTGGCCAAGGACGAAGCTCGGACTCGACTCGGTCTCCTGGAAAAGCCGCGCCCGCACCTCTTCAAGGACGCCCAATCCGTTCGTCATCAGGCACACGGCCGTGTCTCTGTCGACGCGGTGCTTGACGGACTGCAAAGCCTCAACGGCTTCATGCCCAGGTCCAGCCACCAGCAGCTGGTCAATGTGCGAATTGTCGTCTCTGGTGATGGCCTTGGGAGTCACGGACAGGTGCTCTAGCTTCATCTTGCGCTGGTTGCCGTTTCGAGACTTGTAGATGTTGCGATACCTCGACGAAGGCGAGGGCGATGCCGATATTGAGGAGCCTCTCTTCCACCCCAGCATCTCAACAGAGTCGTAAACACCCGACAAGGCGTGTGCAATGAACCTCGATCTCTCGTCGTCTCCCAATATGTGGATCTTGTGTACGGAAGGCGATTTTGCCGCCTCGGGAGGCAAAAGTACCGAGGGCACGTAGAATCTCGGCGCAGATGAGGATGGCGATGAGGAGGTGGAGGTAGAAGAAGAACCGGAGGAGGAGGGTTTTGCTGCGGCAGTTTCGGGGCGCAAGGCTTCTGACCACGGCCGAGGTACAGGATATCGCGAGCTCGCTTCGGTAGGAGTCGAGGGGCCGGGCGATTTGGCATGGCTGTTGCCGGGTCCGGAGGAGGTCGATGCCACGGTGACATAGCGCCGGCCTCGGGAGATGCTATCGCCAGTCCATGCTGAATGTCTCTGACATATCCGGCTGGAGAGCCGCGGTCGAACTGAGCTAGCCACCGTGAAGGATTGCCGAGAAGGGTCGGCGAGGCGAATTGGTGTAAGAGGGGAGAGGGTTAGGAGAGGTAGGATTCGGTAACGGCGGATGAAGAGCGTTCTCAATCAGTCGCTTGATCTAGATTCGAATGTTCATGTGGCGCTGAAGGTCTCGGCTGTCTTTCAGGAGGGCGATCGTGAGGTAGGAAATCGAACGAGGAGAACGAGAGGAGCGAGGAGTAGGATCGTGGCGTAAGGTATATATCAGCGGGTGGAGAGGTCGGCAATGCGTGATGTATGTGGCTGCTGAAGTAGAGATTTTTCGATTGGATTTCGCAGGAGGTTCAGCCTGAAGCAAAAAGAGCTGCAAGAGAGAGAGAGAGAGAGAGAGTCAATGCTGCGCTTTATCCGGGTCGATGATCCGTCTTTGTTGCCTCGTTCTACTATTATCGGTCAGGGTTCTTTTTTCTCTCGCCAGTGTCCACTCAACCACTGCGGGATCGTGCCTCGATAGGCGCATGGCCGCCCCGATAATAGCCGGAACTCCCGATAGCCGACTCAGCAAGTGCCAAACGCGGAAATCAGAGCTTTTAGCATTTTCGTCTATCAAGTGAACAAGAAGAGGGAGAAGCTGGCATCACAACGCCTGCATTCCAAAGAATATTCTGTCAAATCTCATCCGATTCTCTCTTTGTTATCATTTTTTTAATCTTGAGTTTACTCGCCATCATGACGGACATTCCCACAATCATGCCAGATGTCGAGAGGCTGGGCTCTCAGCTGGACGGCCTCGAGGATGCGCTTGAGCCTTTGCTGGGCAATCTCAGCGAGATGTCCTCCCAGCTGCCCTTGTTGGACCGGGCCAAGCTGTTTTCCATGGCGGCGTATGCCATTGAGTCTCTTCTTTTCTGTGCGTACCGGTCATATGTTACAGTCCCGCGATGAATGCCTTGGCTCCTGTTCATGTAGGCTAATATTGACATGTTTACAGCATCTTTGAAGATCCAAGGGGTCGATGCGCAAAACCACGCAGTCTTTGCCGAACTCAAGAGAATCCAGCAGTACTTTGCAAAGATCAAGGCCGCAGAGGAGCCTGCCGGCCAGCGCAAGCTCGTTGTCAACCAGGAGGCTGCCACGCGCATGTTGAAGGCGGATCTGGTAAGTTGCTGTTCATGCCATATCTCACGTCTCATCAATTACCTCGATGAGACCTCCTCTCATCTTTGGTTAACAATTTCCGCAGAGCGACAACAAGCCGTTGAGCGCCAAGCTGGCTGAAAAGATTGCCGAAGAGCGCGCAAGAGCGCTGCTCAAGGCCGCGGAGAGCAAGAAGCGTGGCGCAGAAGACGCGTCTCAGCCTGCCGCCGGCTCAGGTCCAGACGGCGCCTCTTCAGCGGGCCAGAACAAGAACAAGAAGCCCAAGACAAAGGGCAAGCCCAAGAGCACCAAGAGCAAGAAGTGAGAAGAATACGATGGTGCTTATCTTTGTTTGTGAGGGTTTTTTAGCGTATGCTTTGCTGGCTATAGAGAGTGGCGAACATTCATTGCCATCTGCTGCTTCATCAGGGCGTTTTACGGCAACGGATTTGTTTGAGGGTTCAAGGGTACAAAGGGTCAGGAACTGGACATGGTTTACATTGTAATTCTGAGATGCATTTCTGTCTGAAGAGCAGACAAAAGGAATCATGACAGAGTCGGTCATTCATTGGCGGAGATATTCATCTTAATTTACCTACCTTGAGCATCCCATCTATCATATTAGATATATCTTGGAACCTTCTCGCAGTGCAGTATGAAATTCTCTGCCAGGCACCCATCGGTCTAACGAGGCACTAGCCCTGTAAGCCAATTGGCCGGCTCTGCACAAGCACAATTTGGGCCCCTCCCATTGGCCGCAAATAAATCCTCTTTCCAGCATTCTGCCATTTGCCATCGTCACCTCAACTGCTTCAGCCTCGCCTTTTTCTCTCTTCTTCTTCTTCTTCTTCTTCTTCACTTCTCTACACTCTGCCATACTACAGTTAAACCAAAGCCAAATTTTTTCACAAAATGCCTCGTCAACGATCCGTCGGCCGCGCTCCCTCGCGCCCAACTGCTTCCGCCCCCGCGCCCCAGCAGCACCGCCCTGCCACCACCATGGCCGCTCCTCCTCAGCAGCACGCTCCCACGACCATGATGCCTCCCCAGCAGGCGTCGCAGGGCCCCGGCCTGTTTGGCCAGATGGCCAGCACTGCTGCGTAAGTATCTGTCTTTTCCCTGTCTTGCTCTTGCTATCTTTGCTGGCTTTCCAGCTACCGGCGCAAAAGCGTGATATCAAAGACGGAAAAGCTCGTCGGCATGCCGCATGCCCGGAACGACGACTTTGCCTCGGCTATACTGTCACAGATGTCACGAAACGCCTCAGCTGAGCCATGGATGGATATCAAATCCTATGTTCCCAAGATCATACGCAGCTAACCAGAATCCAACCACAGCGGTGTCGCCATCGGCTCCTCCGTCGGCCACGCAATCGGCGGCCTCTTCAGCGGCGGCTCCTCCGAACCCGCCGCTCCCGTGCAGGCCCAGGCCGCGCCCCAGCAAAACCAGCAGCAGTACAACAACTGCGCCGGCGCCGCCCAGAACTTCACAAAGTGCCTCGACGAGAACGGCGGCAACATGCAGATCTGCAACTGGTACCTCGAGCAGCTCAAGGCCTGCCAGGCTGCGGCTAGCCAGTACTAGAGAGGGAGCCGGGGGATGCAGGACAAGCATCAAACGACGCAAAGACGATACGATTATGAGAGAGACAATCTATCGACCCGAAGTCATGTAATATTATAGCATACCTGTACACGTCCCTTGCGGCGAGTACGCATGTATATACATACAGATACAAAGGAAGACATACGAGAGCTGGTACGTGTTTGCAAAGACACTCGCCACTCTCATGGACCGGTTAGGACGGAGGGAATTGGAGTGCGAGATGCCAACCACAGCATGCCTATTCCTCACGGGCGTGAAGGAGGAGCGTGTCTGTCATTCTTATGCCTCGTCACAGAGGCAGGAGAAAGGCGCTTTAAAGAGGACTCGCCGGGTTCAATTAGAAAATCCCTATAGAAAGGCACACTCTGCTCTCATAGCTATAGTTGTACAAATACAGATTCCGAAAAATTGATAAAGGAAAACAAGATGCAGACGGTGATGAGAGACAGAGAAGGAGTCCGAGAATTCCCCGCCCCCCAATGCAACGAAAGAATTCGCCAGATATGAAAAAACGGATAGAAAAGTACTATACACACAACGCTTCGACTTTCATGTCTCGTCGTCGTCCTCGTCTGGCCGCGGCTCAAAATTCAGCTACACACACAAACAGAGTCAGTCCCATGGCTGGTCTTGATGCAATGGAGAACAAAACAAGCGACATACCGAGTTACCGTTGTACAGCTGGTGATCGCGCTGCAAGTTCTGTAAACCTCGCACCCGACGATTCCTCTCCTCAGACGCGGTCCTGGCCGTCGCATCCGGCGCCCTGCTGTCCTGTCTACCTATTCCCCCGTCGCCCCTACCTGCGCGCTGCTCTCCACCCAAGCCAACCAAGCCCAGGAGCCAGGTGAAGAAGCCTAGAATCAGCGCGAGGAACCTCGACCAGGGCGATGCCTGTTGATCCTCGGCGCGATAAGCCGACGAATACTTTTGGACGGGGATGAGGACCAGCGTGGAAGACGGGATCAGGCCCAGCTCGCCAATCGACTTGCTTTCCTCCGTCGCGTCAATGTTCTTGTTGGGCAGCGGCGTCAGGACCTGCTTGAAGGTGTACGGGCCTCTGCTCTCGCCTCGGGTCTCGTCCACCCACTTCCTGACTACCGTCAGAGGATCCCCCGTCTTGAACCGCGACCGTATGGTTGAGCCGTCAAAGAGTCGGACCTGGATCGATGCCATCTCAGACACCTTCCTAGTGCTTGCAGACGGCAGCTTGCTCTGCAACGTGCTGGTAGAGGCAGCAGCAGCGTCGCTCGCCCTTCGGCCTTCAATCCTCTGCTGCTCCTTTTGCGACGCCCGCAGGCGTCTTTCCTCTCGGTCATCCTCTATCCGCTTCAGGATGCGTCGGCGCTCCTCGAGCTCCGATTGTCGCCTCTTCTTGAGCTGTTCTGCTTGCTCGTAGACTCTGGCTCCGTCCGTGTTTGCAGCTGCCTGTGCCTCTGCCTTGGCCTTTTCCTTGGCCTTGGCCCGCTCCTCCTTGGCTCTCTTCTCGGCCTCCTCTTTCTGTGCCTTGAGCTTGGCCGCCCTGTCGGCTAGGAGGTGGTCGATCTGGTTGACCTGGCTGACCACTACTTCTTGTGGAGCGGCGCCCACGGCCTCGACCTGAGCCTGAAGCTGGGCCTCTGGTCGTGATGGGGACTGTGGCTGTGGCTGTGACTGTGACTGTGACTGTGACTGTGACTGTGACTGTGACTGTGACTGAGATCGTGTTCGTGCCTGCGATGCGGGTGACGGCGACGTTGAAGGGGCGGGGGCGGTGACGGAGGCGGAGGCGGAGACGGGAGCAGGAGCGGGTACAGGGGCAGCCAACCTTGTCGGTGAAGCTGACGGTGAGGCTGATGAGGATGCGGCCGAGGTCGCGGGAGGAGCGGCGTTGAAGGCCACGAGGATTCGACGGAGGAAGTCGTCTTTGGGGGTGCCGGCGGCAATGTATTCCTTGAGCTCGCCGTGCTTCATGATGACGACGGTTGGCGTCTTGGGCAGTGGGAAGATTTGCGACAGGTATCCCGCCTCTTCCGACTCTGCGATGAGCCGCAGGGCGACCGCTTGCGTCTCGATGAGTTTTGACAGCTGCAGTTTCCAACAGGCGAAGCTGTTAGCCATCCCATCCATACATTTATCTCCATCCGATCTGCCATGTACTGCTGCACATGTTCTGTGCCGCAACGTTCCAGCTTGCAGGGAGCGGAAGGGAGCGACTTACCGAGCTGTCTTGTAGATATTCATTCTCCCACGTCTGACTCTCCTCATTTTCATCTATGTTGGTGTCAGACAGAGTGCAAGCTTAATTTGGGGAATACAAGATGCCCAAACAATGGCAGGGCTCGGCGATTGAATCACGCACTTGTCACGAAGCAGAGGACGAGCTTCTGCTGGCCCACCGCCGTGGAGATACCCTCTTGCAGGCTCCCCTGATAGAACATGGCTGTTTCCTGTTGCTGCTGTCTTCTCTCGGCCGCGCGGCGTTGGAGTCGAAACAAGTATCGTATCGTTGAGGGTTCGTATCGCGCTTGGATGCTATTCAGGGCCTCGGCGATGGCTTGTCGAGATGATGACCAATTCAACGGGACGCCGCCGCGCGAAGGAGGAGGGGAATCGCAGTTGGCCGGGGAAATTCCCGAGAGATCGCCAGTAATGCTGATGCAGGGATTCGACTCGCATGCACGCCTTGTCCGTGTCTCGCGCGTCTTCTCTTTCGGTGTGCAACGCGATGCTAGTGACGAATGGTAGCTGAAGGGCAACGGGAAAAGAATAGAGAATAGCAAGTCAGGCTCTGATTCTCTCCAGTTTGTTGGGGGGCCTTCGCGATGGTAGAATCGTCGAGTTCGCCGGACAACGATCCAACGCTATTAGCTGGCATCTAAAGAACCGATGACGAAAGGCCAGCCTTTGACATGCAAGAGGTTCCGCAGGCGCCATTCCGGTTTGGGCATGCGTATGGGGACGCGGCCGGTTGTGGTAGGCGGTAAGGATCAATGGCCGAATAATTGTTGAGGGACCAGCATTTTGTATGTAGCTTTCGTTGATGAACAACATGAACAACATGTTATTCTACAAATAACGCCAGAGAATGGTTCGTCATGAAACTATTGAAATTCTCGAGATCAAACGTAATGACTTCAAACGGCATTTTTCCCACAAGAACCATGTTCAATTCCAGCAGAATGTACTAGATATCTGTAAGTACCTATGTAGACCGAGGCCCAAAAGCCGGAGAGGCTACGGTAAAGGTGTATGGGTGATGCTTGGCACCTGCGAGATCAACAAACCCAGAGAAAGCAATGTAGCGAAAAAAAAAATATCCCAGTGGAAACGAACATGATATGAGATCCCTTAAAGGCCGACTACAGTCTCTGCGAGCTCAAGACGACATCACAACTGCTCTTCCTCGTACAAAGTGTTACAGGAACACAGAGAGAACACTCTCATGTACCTACCATACAGGCACCCCACTAGATGTCCCCTCTAGGCAGGCGGTCAATCTCGGGAAACCGTCAATACCTACCTATACAATCTATTGCCATGCCCATGATCAAACATCTTCAAATTCAACGAAACATTCAAACACTCGCCCAATTTCCTGTTGATGCGGCATCTCCCTCCAAACATGAACTGCACACACAATCTGCTGCGGAACCTACGGATTCCCGGCAGCAGCCTCGCTACCAGATCCGCCCGCCAATGCGCCAGAAAAGCAGCATCAACAGCTTCAACGGCAAGCCGCACTCCCGCGCCTCGAGCCGTCCAATGCAGACGCATCTCATCGACTGCTTCCCGATCAAATAAGCCACAGTCTGCCGACGACCCCAACTTTGTGTCCATTGTCGACCTCCAGCCGCAGACGGTTCGCGCGGGCAAGCGTCATGGCCCGGGCATCCTCCTCCTCGGTTCGTACCTAGTCCTTCAGATATACCTACTGCTGTATAAGTCAAGACATACAAGTGCCGTATACATGACTTATATCCCACAAACGAACTCCTATACATGTCATATCCTTCAGTCAAATGACGCATATTTCTCGTACGGAAGCTGACTTCTGCTCTTCCATCCAAACCAGCCCTCATCCCAGTCACCGCATTCGTCCTCGGCACATGGCAGGTCCAGCGCCTAGACTGGAAGACGAAGCTCATTGCAAAGTTCGAAGACCGCCTCATCCGCGACCCCCTGCCCCTGCCGCCTCACATCGACCCCTCCGTCGTCGGCGAGTTCGACTACCGCCGCGTCCTCGCCACCGGCCGCTTCCGGCACGACCAGGAGATGCTCGTCGGCCCGCGGATGCGCGACGGCCAGGACGGCTTCATGGTCATCACGCCCCTCGAGCGCAAGGACGGCTCCACCATCCTCGTCAACCGCGGCTGGATCAGCAAGAAGCACCGCAGCCAGAGCACGAGGCCCGACAGCCTCGTCCAGGGCGAGGTCACCGTCGAGGGGCTGCTGCGCGAGCCCTGGAAGAAGAACATGTTTACTCCGGAAAACAGGCCGGACAAGGGCGAATTCTACTTTCCCGACGTCCACCAGATGGCGGAGCTGACGGGCAGCCAGCCGGTGTGGATAGAAGCTACTATGGGTGAGTTTTCCATTCTCTTGCCTTTTCCCCTCCTGATGTCTGTGCTACAGACAGGTTCATATATTCATTCTTTCGTTGGTTCATTTCACTTCATGCCCCAGTGGGCGTCATGTGGAAGCGTCAAAAGCATTACACGCATCCTCTGTCAATGTGTTTCAGACATTCCCACTTCAGTCATATCAGGTTTATTATCTTAAGCTTTGTGATACCCCAATACATAACGGCATCTGTATCTGTACCTATCCATAACCCATCCCCATACCGATATTTCTTGACCGTTCCTCGCTAAAACAAAGACAAAACACAATGCTTGCAGAACCTGAGTTTATGCGCATGATGGACTATGAGGCGCGCGGAATCCCCTTCGGACGGCCCGCAGAGGTCAACCTAAGGAACAACCACGCGCAGTACATCTTTACATGGTACGTTAGGGCGAAAAGAGACTCCTCATCCATCTACTTGCAAAGGAACACAAAAGACGAGGCCAGGAAACAACGGCGAAGAAGTGAAGGGTCAATAATCTTGACTAACTCGTCCGACTCGCAGGTACGGGTTGAGCATCGCCACGTCAATCATGCTGTACATGGTGCTCAAAAAGCCGCCGTCCAACATTGCCCGCCGCGTTCGGGCCAGCGGATCCATGTGAAGCGACTTTGCAGTATAAAGCAATGGCGAACGCATGTAGGGGAAGAGGGCAGGTAGGTGAGCATTGCAAGCAATGAAGGAGTTACATCGCGAAAAGGGAGCGAGAAGCAGTAGATCATGGCCAAGATATTCTTTGGGCGTATCGGCTATACATCTAGGAGGGGGGAGAGAAGAAAGGAGACACAAGAGAAGAACGGGAAAACAAAGAAAAGAATCGGCTCCTCATTCCTCATTCTTCATCATCCTCTTCCTCTTCTTCCTCTTCTTCCTCGTCCTCTGGATACACCATCTCTTCTTGCTCATCGTCCTCTTCGTCACCATGCTGTTGCCGGCCCCGCTTCCGCTTGGAGCCTCCGCTGGCTTGGGGCACGTACGTGGTATGAGTGGTGGAGTACGTGGTTCGTGTATGCGTGTGCGTGGAATACATGGCGTGGCCAGCCGGAGCATTGGGTCGGGCTGCGGGAACGGCACATCGCAGCATCTGCTGTAGCTCGCGCGGGAGATGGCGGTTGGCCAGGTTGAACAGAGACAGCTCCTGGCTGAGGAGGCGTTGTCTATGACACATTGTACAGTATATGATTAGCATAAAGCGGCAAGATCGATAAAGGGGCAGGGCCGGGGGAGGAGGATGACCACGGGGAACAGGAAAGAAGAGAAAAAAAAAAACACTGCTCACCTGTTCATGAGAGTAATGACATCTCGCTCCTCAATGGTCCTTCGGTTGGCATGGTTCGCATAGGCTGCCAGATCGTCGCCCAGCTGCTCAAAATACCAGTCCGAAGCCTGCGTCAGGGCCTCGAGGGTGTCGGCGCTGATCCTCTGGTTGATGAAGCCCGTGGTCTGCATGGCGGTATGCGCAACCTGCCGGACAAAGACGGCCGGCAGCTGCGGGTACTCGATGTTGTGCCGGGAGATCCTGGCCCTCTTCTTCTTCTTCGGCCGGCCGTGCGGATATCCCATCACGTCGTCGTCGGGCTTCTCCGGCTCGCGGCCAAGCGTCTCAAAGTCAATCTGGGTGATGGCTTCCATCTCGGCGTCTCCGAGGCTCGACACGGACCCAAAGTCGCCAATGTCGGGGAAGTGGTCAAATTGATCCTCTGTCGAAGCCATCATATCGTCAACCCCTTCCCGGCTCTTTGCATGCATGAGCGAAATGTCGTCGGCCACAGGGTTGGGAGCCTTGAGGATACTGTGGATGTCGTCGATGACGGGAGACCTCATGTAAAAGGTGGTCTGGTCATTATCATCGTCCAGACCTTCCGGCATATCAAAGCTAAAGTCGCTGCCATGATGGGCTTCGATGGGCCGCCTACTTGAGCGTTAACTACAGTTCTGTTGCAACCAAGCTTAAAGTATGCTGTACGAGGTGGGAAGAAACGAGGGGTTTGGAAATGGGGGGAGCAGAGGGGTGGTTGCAGAGGTCAAGTGTAGTAGGCACGTACCTCAGATCCGCAATCTCCGGATCCCCTGGACCACGAGGACTTATACGGATAGTATTGCCGAATGAATCTGAAGCTGTGTGCTCTCGATAAGGGTCGTCCCAGAAGGCGTCGTCACTGATCCCCGGATAATAACTAACGCTTCCTCTGAGACTGAAAGGGCCTTCGCTGATGGCCCGACGTGGCAGCTCAATCGACTGGACGGTGAGGTTGCCGTCGTCGAGGATCGACGACTGTGGAGGCTGTAAGTCGTCCGAGGAGCCCTCGTCCAGGGGCAGAGACAGGCGAGGTCTGTCAATGGGCAGCTCGTCATCGTCATCGTCACCGCGCCGAGACCTGCCGCTGCCGCTGCCGCTGGCCTCTCCGTTGCCATTACCGTCGTCATTGCCATCCGCAGAGACCTTATCCGGAGAAGACGAGGAGGCAATGACGTTGCTGGTGGGGGCAAGGGCACGGCCAAGGTTGCGCAGGATGAGCATGGGCGTTTCCCTCTGCTCCCGGAAGCTCTGGCGGCGGCTGCGTCCAGGCGTAAACGTGGCCAGGCGGCGTTGATCAAGAGCTCTGCGGGCGGCTATGGCATGGGGCGTCGGGGCATTTTCAAAGGCCGGCGTGTTCATGACCGAGCGAGGATAATGAGGGTTCTGGAAGTACCGGTTCGACGGCGTGTAATAGGGGAAGCGAGTGGCGGAGGGCTCAACACTCCTGGTGCGGCGCCGAGGGGGCGTGTGAACGGGCACCTCGTCGGCGTCGGCCCTGCCCATGTCCAAGAAATCAAGGTTCATGCTTGCGAGGCTTGATGCCGGAGAGGGTGAGTCTGAAGGAGCGGGATATAGCGAGGGCTCTGAGTCTGTAGGCGAGAGACTGCGTCCACGTTCACCGGGGGGTCTGGCTCTATCTTGTATATCGAGAAATAGCCGGCGATAGTATTGGTAACGAGGGCCTTCAGGAAAAAAGTCGAAGTAGTAGTCTTGGGGTAGAAAGTCGAGATTCAGGGACATGTAGAGAGATTGAGGAGAGAGCCCGAGACGATTTTGTGGGGGACGTTGAGTGACTGTTAGTCACTCTAACAACACAGCAACACCGGATGAAGGCGTTGTCGTTGTAGTCGTTGAAGAGAGAGAGAGAGACAGGGACAGGGACCAGATACCAGAGACCAGACCGGACCAGGGACCAGACCGGGTCACGGCGCGTGGTTGTTGGTTGTTCCTTGGCTATGCGACTTCCTGACGAGACCCCGTTACAAGATGGGGCTTGATATATAGAAACCCGCGTGTCGAGAGTGACCGCAGGATACCCAAGGTGATATGCAGGCTGCAGCAATCGACTGGGCCGGGAGAAGAGGGGAGTTTGGACGTAAGCAAAGCCGGTTGATGCGCGCACAAAGCAGGCAGGGTGAGCAGCAGCGAGGCGAGGAGCGATGCAGAGCAACAGAAGACCCGGAGGTGGCAGCAGAACCTGGTGCTTTCGGACTGAGACTGTAAGGACGAGGTGACCGAGAGTGCGAGAGTGAGAGGGTGAGAGAAGACGGGGATTTGTATATTGCTGCTGTTCAACCCCAGATGCCGGCTGGGCCTGGCCGCATGGAGCGCCGTATGCAGTGCGAAGAGGAGACGCAGCTCACGGTGCTTTCCTGGGCTGTGATTCGCAGAGCCTTTGCCTCGACTCGCTTCTTCCTTTGTCTTTTCTTTTTCTGCTTGTCTTAATAAGGCCGGAATCACAGGCGGCGTACGGCTGGGCTAAAGGCACGGATAGTGGCGGGCGCGCGTCATGGCGGGTGTGAGAGAGGATGTGTGTGAGATTTGGTTGCAGGGGGGGAAGAATTTGGGCTCTGAGACGCGGGCAAGGAGCAGGTATACGATACTTTGAAAGGGGGGTGTTGTCTGCTGACTAAGACAGAGGAGACTATCGCGTTTGGAAGAAGAGGGTTTGAGATGTCGTCCATATGTTACAGATACTATACTGATGGACTGTAGCCGGAACCCTCTATTCCTATATCTCAGAGTCTATACTATACAGCCCTTGATCCCCCTTGATCTGGCTCTGCTGTTCTAGACGGAAAACAAGGGGAAGAAAAGCAAGTAAACATCGTGCCAATGCTTTCGATGAGCTGAACAGGTACATACATACAGACAGCGGCCAGCCAATTAGACAGCGCGGGGCATGCCCGGAATGTCCCCCGTCTCTGGCAACTGGTGGTGTCGTGACTTTGTACCATGTACTTGCTACAACTGCTTCACTTGCCACACGCTTCTCGCCCAAATTCAACGCCAAGGGAAAACAACAAACAGGCAGCATCTACTAAAGACTCTCAGCTGTAGGTCTTCATCCAGCCAACTGTGATATCTGCTTCCATCACCTTACACAATCTCTGTGAAGACTCTGTTCCTCAATTGCATTTGTCCTAAACGCTGTGTTGATTGACCAACTCTCCTTGTTTAGAACGTCGACCCTCGATCCGTACCTACACGGTAAGATATGGCATCCAGTGATCCAGTGCCTCACACCGGCTGCATCAGCCAAGCCACCCCAGAGAATGAGAAAAGAGCAGAGAGACACTGGCAGCCACGACGAATCCGTCCGCCGGCATCATGCAGAATGAGGTGCCCTGCTTCGATTTCTCCTCACGTTACAACCTTTTACTATTTCTGGTATACATGGCAATCGCTCTATACCTTACCTACTATACTCGTACACACTTGTACGCTCCCTTTCACAGACCTAAAGATGACCACCCCCTCCCTTTTGCCTAGTACTCTATAAGGTAAGGTATAAGGTACGCAGATGCTGTGCGTAACTCGCACACCCACCAAGGCACCCGAGGGGGACCGGTGAGAAGCGCACATGCAGCCGGGAGACGATGGCGCAGAGCCTTGTCTTGTGTCCAGGCGCCAGCCCAGACGAGCAGAACTGGTAATTCGTAAGAAATGCAGAGCATCTTTGTACCTATCCACGCTCGTATGCCTATTCACTACCTACTACCTAGTATCAGTACTCGAGCGGTGCATGTCAAGCTGTGTATCGGTGACCTAACGTGTTGGCAGACACGTGTCTCAACTAAGGTATCGTATCGTTGACTCAAGCTTAGGTTTTGCAACCGTTTGCGTATACTACCATCACCAGGCTTGACGAACCTAGGTAGGTAGGCACGGAGTACGGTGATGCAATGGTACCCAGCCCTCCGCATACTGTATTACTTCTGCAGTCTCAGATGGTTCGTATGCCGGGGTCCATACGTTGTCACTTTTTCGAACTCCGACTGGACGAGACCAGAAGCAAAAGTGTCATCGACCTACAACTTCTAGCACAGCACGGAAAACCTACTAGTAGGTACCTAAGGCTCAACATCTTACCTCCAACTGCCCGTGGATGGCGACGTGGTCCCTGCAAGTACTCGTACCGTCACCAACTGCAAATCCCAAGGACGAGTCCAAGCCAAGTAGACCGGGGAGGAAACGCAAAAGCATGGCTTCCACGCGCTGCTGCTGCCCGAAACCCCTCCCTTTCGCATCCCCTTTTTTGCCTCCATGACGCCCTCCCGCGCTTCTCGCACCCAGTCGTGATTGGGCTGGGCCTCTGCGGCCTGCAGCAGAGGCGAATGGGTTGCATGGCGGGCTGCATGCGGATAGACAACAAAAAGTGATATGATACTACCTAGTACTACCTACAAGTAATACATACACCCGAATGCCTGTACTAGTAGGTATGTAATGATGCTTCTGACACTGGCTGGCTGATCTGATCGTCTTCCCCCCAGGAGGTACCACCTGTTCAATCTAATAGGAAAATGGAACAAATGGAATGCAAGCGCGCCAGATGTCCACACCGGTCACAGGCTGCATTGGACTAGGCCGCCAAAGAGGGTCAACATGTCGGCGCGAGGGCCAGCAAAGCGCCCGTGGCAAGAGAACAGGAGAAGCGGCCCGCATGGAGTCGCGGCGGCTGCGGACAGGAACAGGCTTCGACTTCTCGGAAAGCTGGTTAGTTGCCCGGCTCTCTGCCTTATCTGGCCTCTGAGTGACACTCAGGTAAGGTATGCATGTACACACCCGTACGTGGACGCACATACTACCTGGTACTGTCTGTACACACGCACACACGTCGGCTTCTGTGCCTTATGCCCGTATGCGAAGCCCGGCTGCATGGTGGAGTGGTAGAAGCGCGGTTTCGAGACCTGAAATAGTTGCGCGAACGGCACAGGAGAGCGAAGAGAGGCATTTGACTAAAAGTCTACTCACATGTGCGAGAGCTACTGGATGCTACCGCAATGGCTTTTGGTAGTGTTAAAAATCTAGCAGACATTATGGCAGTCATGGAAGAATCAGGCTTCTCCAGACGCTTCTCTAGATCTAACTTGAGGAACAAAAAGAAATTGAGAGATCAATACCGATCCTTGTAGTCATTATTACCAGAGGAGAAGCCAGCACTTAGTATCAGAGCATCCTACTCATGTAGTAGCAATGTCTCGCACGATACAAGTGATCCATGGCTTTTCTTCTCTCTTTTCCCAGTCTGTGTATCCTCTCTGTATCCTCTCTGTAACCTTCTATGCGTATCTTGTTCTTCGTACATCCCTTCCGATCGGCTCAATGTCAGTCAAGACCAGGCGATTGGGACCTCGTTTCATAGTTCTCGTAACCGCTGCTAAATAGCAAATAAGTTGGATTCCTGCATCATGGCTTCTCCGTTCCCACTGCCGCTCAAGCTGACGTGCCCAGGCTCTGGATATATCGGCCACGCTCGACGTTGGCATATGCATAAGGCCTCGACTCGGGCGGGAACGTGCCGTCAGCAGCCCACAGGTCGATGAGGTACTGCATGGGCTCCAGCTCGGCGGGCTGCAGCATATCCAGCGTCGTGGCTGTCAGGATGAAGTGGCTGAAGCAGCTGTTGAGCTGCTTCTCCAGGTTGAGGTGGTAAAAGGGCTCGACGAAGTGGTCCCAGTACAGGTGGGCGTAGACGCGGAAGATCTGGCGGAAGATGAGCTGACAGGTGCTCCCGAGCTGCTTGGGGAATCCGCTTCGGGCCCCGAGCCAGTCCTCGCCGCCCTGCTGCTGCTGGAGCGCGTTGCTCGTGTACTCGGGATGCAGGGCAAAGCCCACCGTGTCAGGGTCGGTAGGGAACAGCGCGGGATCGTCAATCTTTCCGGACATCCACCGCTGCATCAGCGTCATGTACTCATACGCTGGCAGCTCCACCGGCTCGTGATTCCTGTTGAGCCAGGTGTACGAGTGGTTCCTATCGCACAGCAGGCGCACGCGTGCATTAGGTTAGCCCAACACGCGCTTCCACAAACTCACCGAGGCAGAACAGAGGTGGTGGTATACAAGGAACAAGGTGGCACATGGAGAAATGGGCAACGGGCAGTGGCCAGGGGGGGGAGAGGGGAGACTTACTTGCCCGCAGACATCTTGGGGCATGTATTCGGGTTGCATATGCTGCTGCCATCCTCTTCCTTTTCGTGAATGACCCGGACAAAGTTCCAGAGATTGCGGTAGTGCTCGACAACTGTATGCCATATCAACGTCAGCAGAAGGCCTCGGCTTCTCTCATATGCTTCCTCCTGTTCGACCATGATCGGTTGTTGTTTCTCCTCCCCTCCCTACGGTCTCTCAATCTCTTCCGTTCTCTCGATTAACTCACCCTGGTGTGCCACCCACTCTCCAGGATCAACCGTCTTTGGCCGAGCACTCAGCGTCATAAAGTTCCCCTTGACAATGTGTTTGGCACATGCTGTGTTGAGCCATAGCGGCAGCGGCCGTGGGATGTCGAGGACCGTAGGAACGACGTCTATTGACTGGCCATGCGACCGCGACTCGGGCAACGACACTCTGGGCACGGGACTCGACGTCGACGGATAGCGATCCGCAACCGCGGGCCTGTGGAGGGAGGAAGCTGAGGCCGAAGCCGAGACTGAAGCTGGGGCTAGAGAGGAAGCTGGCGATTCAGCGGTCGGTGTGGTTGGGCTCTTGACAGGAGTCCCTGCCTTGGCAGAGGTCCCCCGAATCTGGGCTTTTCTGGTGTCGCAAACAAGAGCATCGCGTTAGCAAACTTGCGGCTGAGGGAGGCTCTGGAGCAGGGTAACGCGTGGCAGGACAGGCCCAAGGCGGGAAGCAGCACACAAAGAGCCACAAGGAAACGTAAACACCCCCCAAAATCAAGAAACATTGGCAATCGGCCAGGCTTACATTCCAGAGAAGAGGTTGGACATTGCGTGGTAGGACGGCAGCTTTTCCGGAGGAAACAGTGTGAGCTCGTGCTTATGACAAGGGAAAAGAGACGATAGGCTGCCTCTCCCCTGAACACAACGCGACGCTAGGCTGCGCGAGGCCTAGAGCAGGGGAATTAGATAAGCATAAGGTAGGCTGCAGAAAAAGGGGGGGCGGCGGCGGGAACAGTCTCCCACAGTTGGTTGCTTAGGTAGCAAGACGGACGACTGTTGGCTTCAAGCTTCATCAAGTCTGCAGCGGCTATTACCTACTTTGTTCATCTGTTGTTTATCCGCTCAGTGTTGCTTTCTGATAACAATCTAATTCAGTTTGATCCCAAGTCAAATTTTACATTCAACCACAGAGAAGATCGATAGCTTCTCAGCAGCTTGAGATGCAGCCAGCCTGCCATAACTGATCATATTCCAGTTGCTGCTGCTCAGGTCCCTTGTACAGAAGTAGCTCACGTGTATCTGATGGCCGAGTACAGGTCATGACACCCTGCAGAGGCACGAGAAAGCACTCCCACAACTTTGGAGGGTTTCACAGCATCACAGCGTTACAGCATCATCAAGGCTCGGAGCCACCCTCCAACGAATCATCGTGGATCGGCCCCCTCCCTTTCCTGCATCATGCTAATACAGTTTTCTATCCTGTTCTGCCTAGCTTCTGCTCATATACAACTTGTAGGCAGTGTGTATCGAGTCTGAGCCTTCCGTATCATCAGATCTGCGCCATGTACGAGCACACCAATAACAGCCCTCCGATCGTGAGAAGCAAGGCTGCCACCCTCCATCGAGATCTACCGCAACCCATCCGCAAGACGGCCCCCAGACTCATATTTCGTAATAGGTAGCTTGAGAGTGTGGCCATCTCATCGATTCTCGGGGGGAAAAAAACAGAACAAGCAACAATGTGGGGGAGGATGCGGGGGAAAAGGCCGCTCCTCCCCCTACAGAGCGGGAGGCTACCACTTGTTTGCTCGTGCGTTTGCGACTTGCAATACGACATGAGCAGGGAATTCAGAGGGCAGACTGACAAGAGTAGAGCCAGACACACAGACACACCACTCGCACTTTGGAATACTAAATCCCAATGATAACCTGGTACCTGGGGCGCTGGATGCAACCATTTCGGGCATTGTCAAGAGGGGGCCCGGGATCTTGGTCGGCTGAGATTGCGGTCCGGCTCGAGACTGGTCGAGACACACGTACGAGTACGTCCGCTTCACAATTGGGGTAGCCAGCGGAACCTGTGCCGCAATGATAGTGATCTCTCCCTTTTTGACGGCGCATCCCGACGTCTTTCGGGCGCATGTCTCATCTCGTCACGACCAGCCAGCAGGCAAGGGCAACGGTTCGATCAACGACATCAGCTACCGGCAGAAGTGCTTGACGTCTACAAAATAGGAGTGGGTGAGGCCTGTATATTGCGGATGCGAGTCTCAGTTGACTCCAAAGCTCAGAGCCCTTCCGAGCAAGCGATATAACGTCAAAACATAGACATCGGATACTGCTCGTCATACTATGCCGAAGGAGTGGCTCTCCAGATGCTGATTCAAAGCCCCTTGGTCATATGTCTCACCTGTTCCGAGAAGGTTTCAGTCAGTCCATCAAGCAATGGGCCTGCGCTTCCTAGACTTCCGGAATATTTCGACCCCAAACCACCACGACAACTCACACTCATCGAGACAAACCGCTGTCTCTCCCAAGCCTTTGCGAGGCGTCCGAAGATTTTCGGGCGGCGTATCCCTAACACACCGAGGCTGAGACCTGACGTGCCGCGTCCAGAGGGTGTAAGCTTTTAGATACAATCCAAAATGTCCGAAAATCTTCGGGCGGCATGTGTCTGCTTCGAGGGCATCTTATGATTAAAGCAAGTTTGTGACCTCCTGTCTTGAACCCCCCTTCCCAATGATCGTCAGAATCTCCAGATTGAAGCTCGCCAAACCACCAGTGACCATGTCCGCTCTTTGATCAACATTGAAGTAGGACTACCAGTGATAGAGCAGATGTCTGAAAGGCCGAAACAGCAAGTCTCAAGGTATTCAACCCCTGCTGGCTCTACTCAAGGCACCGTCTGAGGCTGCCATCAACGCGTACAAATTCAGTGTCCAATGCAACGTCCGACGTCCCATGTCTCTCAACGTCTTCCAACCAAGTCGGTCCATAGCCCTTCCAACAATGGCTGTACCATATGAAAGAATCAGCTGGCATCTTATGCCAAGTGAGGCCATGGACACATTCAGGAGCTTCTGTTTGTTTGCCACATGCACCATGACGACGCAGTTATTAGCAGCCAAAACAATGTACAATGTGATGCTTCGATAACTTCAGAGAACTGTGGAGCCATTTTTACCAAGCAGCATAATCAAACACTCAAACACTCATCAACTGAAAGCCGTGATGTTATAGCAAGTTGACAATTTGCAACCGATTGCTGGACCTCCTCACGCAAGTACTGCTTCTTTATACGTTGTGACAATACAGCTATTGAGGATATCCGAATGTTCACAACGACTGCCATAACTATCTCAAAAGATGCTCCGGTCATGGAGACGTCATAGAGGGACGAGGTCTGCCCAAGCCCTACGACGCCTCGACCGACGCAATGGTGCAGGCGCATGTATCAGTTGATAAGTGTCGCCTGGTCTCCGACTTTAAACGGCATTACAAAATATGCCATCGGTTTGAGATGGCGAGGATGGAGCCTGGATTTTGATCTATGCAGCTGATGTCTAGAGGGTGTCCTGTCTCTTCGGTCCCTTTCTCTCTTGCGCGACTAGGCGGCTGTAACAGCATTTCGGAACATTAACCAACCAGAGGGATTGTTGTGCTTGGTGGTTATGAGTCTGCTCTCTGAGGTATGACCATGTTAAGAGCCCCTCAACTTGGGATATGAGCAAAGGTTATCGAGTCACATTGGAGACATTCTCAGTAGCGTGCTTGTCGCCCACCAGAGGAGTTTAGACAATAGGGTAGGGGCAAGTGTATGACCCCCCGAAGAAGAATGAGCGTAAGGAGATGGCTTTTGCCTCGAATATTCGCAAGCCTCTTGTTTTCCTTGACCATCTGGTGGAATATGCCCTCAATAAAGCTGTATATTCCCCCATGTAGCAGCTGTAGAACATAGGTAGTCAGAGTGGTCCGTTGACTGGCTTGCCCTGTTGTGCTTGGCCGCGCAACAGCATCTAATATTTCGCGAAGCCTCATCGTCCTCATCAAATCAGACACTTCTACGTGAGGTGCCACAGCATATATGGCATCCAGGCATTCACATTGTATTCCCTCAACCTGGGTCACTGGACAGGGGCATGATATACCTCAGAGCAGCCGCCCCGATCTCAATGCAAAGGATCCCATGCGTACAGAGGTTGCACTACCCTGCAGGCGACCTGCCCTATCGCTCTATAACTGACTTACTCCCGTATTGCATGTTGAACTCTTGACAATATCGAGCTGTAAGAAGCTGGCATGTTCACCAGCATTGATCTGACGAGTGTTCCTGTCGAAAAAGTGTCAACGCGCCCTGGAAGGCAGCCTTCAAGAGCAGACGTTGTGCGCTGTCAATCGTGTTTGAGCTTGACGAGCGGAAGAAGCAAATGAACCGACCAGCCAAACTATCGAACATCCACCACCTGGTCTATAAAGGACAGTTTGGCTGGCGAACCAACAGCATGCTGTTCAGATGACCTCTGGAACGTCTTTCTTGCGAGAACACCACAGGGACAGGGTCGAAACAAGGAAACGCCATCTTCACTTCGTCCAGTACAAAGCAGTTCTTCTCGGATGGGCACCATCCCGCGCTCTCGAGAGCCTCGAAAGCAGTGCATCTTGGATAAGAACGCGCTAACAACACCGTGGGGAATCACTGGGGCATCTCTTGACACTGAAATTGAAACTTCAACCGCCGAAACTCGACAGTATCCATGTTGTCCCCCTGAAACTTGGAATGGGGATCAAGAGGGCTGAACGCTTCGTCTTGCCAAAGCGGCGGTAGGTCAATGAATAGAATCGGGTTGGGGCTGCTACTAAAACTGAGAACTGACTCTGACAGGAAGTCGTGCAGCTTGTTCTCCCGCCTTGCTCTGGGTTGGTGGCCAGAGGCACAAGGCAGCCAGCAAACGATCGCACCACGGAGTACAGCTTCAAAAAAGGCCCCCATGCTTCGCATTGACGGGTGGCATCTGTTCTGTGAATCCTCCAGCATCAAGTGGCCTTGATCATCAAAACTGGCAAGATCCTCGAGCATCATCAACCCGGCCCTCCAGCTGGCGAGCCACTCTGACCCCAGGACGTCGGGCACCAACCAAGACGCCTACAATTCCGCTCTTGGAAAGTTTGTGTGACACATCCCCGGACAAACATTCTATGGAGCCTCAGGGAGCTTGTTCCGTCTAGTTTGCGCCTGGCGAATAGACCCTCGGATCGTGTATCCCGACGAACAGTTGGCGCAAGCGCGCGTACGCCGACTCTTGTGGTGATGTACTCCGGGACGGACGTTGTAATGACCCTGGAACTAAGCCAGCATTCGTTAATAACGGTTAACGACAAGACGTATCTTCGAAATGAAAGCTCCAGATACGTACAGGATGGTAGCATCAATGCCTACCTTGAGCATCGACTTTCGTGAACCAGAGAGCAGCTGCGTAGAGATACTGTGGAAGATGATCTGCTCAACCATGCCATTGCTGGCAAGAGCCAACGACAAGTATTCGTCCAACAGGTTGGCAGCCCTGAGGCATCTGCCGAGGATCCTTGGACAATAGGCCTGAGGAGCGCCTGCATGGTTGTGCTATTGCCAAGCCGTGCTGTGCTCAGCCTTGCCATGTTCAGCTTTCAAAGCTGGAAGGCAACCTCGGGCGTTCACCGGGACATCTGTCGAGCCTTCTGCTGCAGCTTCTCGCTTGGCCAAATCGGATTTGACCTCTCCATCTCCTTGAGCGACTGAGAGACGAGGCAGACATGTCGCTTCAACAGACAGCCGTACTTCGACTCGAGCGTAATTCTTGGTTCCTTTCTCGGCAGCGAATGGTAAGGAGGATGAGTGCATTCTAACGTGCCGGCTGTCCAGTTCTCCAAAGGCATTGAATCTCCCAGTGACAATTGGTGGAAACGGCGTCCACAGGATCATAAGCGCCACGGAAGCTCCCAAAGCTGTAGAAAATCAACAAGATTAGACCCCTGTTGGCGTGATGCAAGTGTTTCGTCAAAGATCTGGGCTGGGATGCGGACGCCTGGAGCGTTTCAAAGCAGCAACAGAGCTGTTACAGAAGGCCGCCTAGCCTGGAGAACTCCGAATGCTGTGAGAAAGCACTGTTTCTACCATCACGGACGCATCGTGCCAATGTAGAATTGCAATTTTGCGGGCGAGTCCTCTATCTCTCCAATGTCATGGCTCATTTACAGAATGTCGCTTGGTGATAGGGGTATGTCGGGCTGTTCGGTGGATGTCAACCACAGGAGGCGCAACGGACTTCTCCGTCCCATGGCTGACAATCACTCGAGCATCACCATCACACGCTTGCACATGTAAGCAAAACAGCTTCACATTATCCATCTCAACAGGTAGTTTTAGCTCCTAGAAACTAATCCAGAGCTTGGTTGAGTTGGGCTAGTACCGAGTGCAAAATAGACGGGGATCGTCTTGCTTGAGCGGCACTACTTATAACAACTAGAAGAGAATGCCCTCCAAGCAGCATCTACAAGAACAAATGGGCGTAGGGAACAAAGTGCAAGCCTTCTAGAGCCTTTCCACTGCAAGGAAAGATGCACAGCTCCAGCTGAATTCTCGTCATCGCCATGTCCAGCCGCCTTGGCAATCTCGACTTGCGGGCCCTTGCCTCGCAATCGATGCATTTCGGGTCAGGCGACTTTTCTTTTGGCCTTGGGACTTGACTCGACCTTTTTCTGGCCGTGAGCAGGGTACGTACCGTGCCTGGGGTGCCCCCCCATTAATGGGGTGCCGGTTCTCTTTTCTCTCCTCTTCCTCGCTTTCTCCCCCCCCACCAACAGCCACACTCGCATGCAACTTCGTTCTTTCGTCGCCAACTTGGTTCGAGGTAAGCAGCATCGTTCTTCATCACCAAGGCCACATCGTCTTCTTCTTTCAGCCTCTTCGGGCAGCTTGTTCGATCTGCCAAATCAAACCAGGTCCGCCAGCCTGAGCCAGACGGTAAGCCAGTCTCCTCCTCTACCGACCCAAACTCCATTGCCCTGTTCCCATTCTCTCCTTTCAAGAATCACACACACTCTCACGCGCCACACACCCACCCACACGCTCTCACGAGCGATGGCTTGAAGCCGTTGCTTGCGAAATAAGGAGGCTTTGTTTCTTTTTCTGCTTCTTTTGTTCCTCATCTTCCTGCCCGGCTCTTCCCCCCTCTTGATTTGTCCCGCCTTGTCCCGCCATCCGCCTTTCGTCAGGTTTCACAGCGCCTCGCGAGCTCTTTCGCATTGCCTGCTGGTGCGGCCATCTGATTTGTCCTTGTCCCCCCCTCGAATTCCCTTGCAGACGAAACGCGTTCGCACGTCCAGAGCCTATCGCTCGCCGTCTCCCCCTCGGTTCCGTCTCCACTAGCTCCAGTGGCGCTAGGTGAGATACCAGAATCAAACAGGGTACGAGGACGTGTTGAACCAGTCCCCAGGCGGCCTTCCCGTTCGTTCCCATCCCTCTCCTAGCCTCTCCTGGCCTCTCCCAGCAGCTCGCAACAGCGGACTAGGTCGGATCCAAGTTAGCAGCAGTGTGTGCGTTTCTGTGCCTTCCCGCTGCCTCTGCCACTTGCTTGCTGCTAAGGTGCCTGATATCGCCCTCGACCTTTGCCCGGGTCTCTGCAGCTTCAACCTCCTGCGGCTGAGCCCCGTTCTCGCTGTGTCAACCTGCTTCTGACGTTTGATGCAGCCTTGAAACCCTCTCCTCCAGACCGAGACGCCGCCATTATTCCATCTCCGATTCCCGATACCCATTTCCCAGCCCTCCAGTCTCGCGTCTTCCTCTCATCAACCCCATTCTTTGTCTTTTTGCCTGTACCCCCTTTCGCCGATCCCAGAGCCCTTGATCCTATTTCTACATACACTGCGCAAAGCCCAGCCCCTCGCCCAATCCGCCCTCCACCGACTCGTCGTCTCGATCCTAATCAACCCCTCGCACCGCATCATCAACATCATAATCACATCGTCCGAGGCCGAAACTGAACGATTAGAAGCAATAGACCGTCATCAAGCCAGAGCCGAAAAGGAAAACTTGGGACGAAATGGCGCAAGCTGGAGTGCAATCGCTGAAGGTAATATCATTCATCTGCTCCTCTCTTCCACTTGGGGGGTTTTTTTTTTCTTCTTCTTCTCTTTTTCTTGGGCCACTTACTGACGCCTCCTGTCTCCTTTAGTGTGTCGTGACCGGTGACGGTGCCGTCGGCAAGGTATGTCGCAACCATTTCTCCCCTCCCCTTCTTCTAGTTCTTGGTCGACTAACGCATGATTTTGCGCAGACCTGTCTTCTCATCTCGTACACGACCAATGCTTTCCCCGGAGAGTACATCCCGACCGTGTTAGTTTCGCCTCCCGATATGACACAACCAACTCTGGCTCGCGAATATTGATTGTTGACTTTGGGTCCTCCCGCCACAGGTTTGACAACTACTCTGCTAGCGTCATTGTTGATGGCAAGCCGATCAGCCTGGGTCTTTGGGACACTGCAGGCCAGGAGGATTATGATAGACTCCGGCCCTTGTCCTACCCCCAGACCGACGTGTTCCTCATCTGTTTCTCCGTCGTGAGCCCGCCTTCTTACGATAACGTTGCCGCAAAGGTATGATATGCCGTCCCTCCCCGTTCTGCTTCTTTGTTGAGCGACAAGAGCTGTACATCTGACGATACCCCAGTGGCTCCCCGAGATCACCCACCACTCGTCTGGAACTCCCATCATCCTCGTCGGTACCAAGATCGATCTTCGCGATGACCCGGCTACCCGAGCCGCCCTGACCAAGCAACACATGGAGCCGGTCAAGTACGAGAACGTGCTCAACTACGTCAAGGAGGTCAACAAGACCAACAAAATCATCTACAAATACATTGAGTGTTCCGCCCTGACTCAGCGCAACCTCAAGAGTGTCTTTGACGAGGCTATTCGGTAAGCAAACGCCTCCAGCCCGCGCTGTTGCGGCTTTCAGTCTCGATTGATTCCTGCCTGCTCTCTGCCTGCCTCTGCCCCCCTTTGCACAGCTAACAGTTCTGTCTTTGATCAGTGCGGTTCTCAACCCCACCCCTCAGGCTTCCAAGGCCAAAAAGTCCAAGTGCTCGATCCTGTAAAGGAGATTCTGGCCGTGCCATCTCGTTTCCCTATCTGCAGCATTTTGGGCAGCGAAGGCCTCTGCTAGATATTTCCTTCTTCACGGACGACTTACACAATCTCGAGCCCTCGGCGCCGAACGATTATTTTTTTGGGTCACCTTAGAACGGTGTACATTACAGAAACCCCCTTTTGGGACGCATTTCGATGAACTACTAGACCGACCTGGCATTAATGGAGAGCGGAGGACAAAGATGAACGGCGAAAGAGGGTCGGGGCTCTGAAAAAGGAGATTTTCTTTCTTTTTTTCCTTTAATGATTATGGCTGTCCTGTGTCTTGAGATTCCCCCCATTTTCCTGGTACTTGTTGATAGGGATGCAGCAATCCGGAAAATGACATTGTTGAGCAGGACGGCATGGTACCGACGCCATCTCGATGGTCCTAGGAAGCTGGAAGACGAAGAGGTTACTTTACCGCTCCATGGCGTCTGGCAAATTATATAACGAATTCCATTGATCTTGCGTTGTACCTTTTGTTTGCGACACTGCTTGTGAATGACTCGGTTTTGATTCCCTCACGCCTTTACAAATCGTGAAGCACTTTATTTCTCCATTCTGAATGGCCCTTTCACTCAACTTACAATGTCTTGTGGTTCGGCTTGCCCTGACACTGCGATTACCTTCCCAGACGACACATGCAGTCAGGGGGGGCGATAATACAAGGAATCAAAAGGATCGCGTAGGTAGCTTTTTTCAGATCTAGGTCGCTCAGATAGCTGCGGGTGGTAGAATTACACATGGAAGAACCAAGTTCAATCCAATTATTGGGGGTATCTTTCTTCTCCCCTGCATGCTTTGTTGCTCCTGCTAACCCAGCCTCGTCTATGTGTCCGGCTCCAAGGGTGTAGACTATTTCCTTCTTGGCCGATGCCGATTGCTGTTTCTCTATACTAGATAGCCAACGATGGGATTAAAGAAGTACTTGACAGATATGCATGAAAACGAAATAGCAGCAGATGGACCGGCAACGCGAAAAGCAAACGAAAGAGCAAGCGCCGGAGAAGGCGTCTGCGAAAAGCTTCAGGCTGGCCTGACCAACAGGGAAACGACAAGCCAATTCATCCTCATCAAGCTGACGAGACAATATATCAATCAATTTCCAAGGCCAGGCAGACGAGCAAGGCGGCTGGGGTGAATGTCCATCCTGGCCGAGCTGTTGCCGGACTGGTTCTCCTCCTTGGCCGTCTTCTCCTTTTCGATGCGCTTGGCTCGGTTCTCGTCAAGCTTCTTGTTCTTTTCCATGATCTTGTCCTTGCGGCCCTGGCCTTTACCGCCTCCTCCAGCACTGCGGAAGAATAGCAAGTCAATACCACAATTTGTTATACAAGATAGATAGGCGTAGCCTATGAAGAAGCTTGTGGACTTACGTGAGTTCAATGTTAATTTTCCTCGGGGGCGAGATGCCGTCGTCGAACATGGTATGGTGGAACTTATCCAGACACGTCCGCTGGTGCGTCGACGTCGCGAACTCGACAAAGGCGATGCCCCTGCAGGCCTTGGGATCGTCCTTCTTGGTCAGGCACCGCACAGCCACGGGCTTGAGAGAGGCGAAGTGCGCCGTGATGGAGGCCGCGGTGGCGCTGTAGGGCAGGTTGCCGACAAAGACAATGTTGCGGCCAGCCTTTTGCGCCGAGGACGAGTCGAGGTCGATGGCATCTTCGCCTTGTGTGGCGTTCTTGGTGGCGGAGGACTCGTCCTTGTTGTCCTTCTCCTTCTTCTTCGTCTCCTTCTTCTCCTTTTTTCTGTCCTTCTTCTCCTTCTTCTTGTCTTCCTTGTCCTGCTTCTTGGATGCCTTGTCCTCCGACTTTCCGTTGGTCTTGGGCTCAACCTCGGCCTCGGGCTTGGTCACAGCCTCGGCAGCGTTTGCGCTTCCCTCGTCATCGTCGACGTCCATGCCCTCGGGCAGGTTCTGGAGGTTCTTGAGCTCTTCCTTCTTTTCCTTGCGGGACTTGTTGTTGTATTTGCTCTTGTCCTTCTTGGGCTTGTTGGCCTTTCGCTCCTCCTTGTCCTGCTTCTTCTTCTCCTTCTTCTCCTTCTTCTTCTCCTTTCGCTCCTCCTTGTACTTCTTTACCCTCTTCTCTCCCTGGCCGGCTGTCGCGTCTTTGCTCTGATCGGCATCGTCGTCGCTGCGCTTGCGCTTCTTGTTGGTCTGGTCTTGAGGGACATCGGCTGGCCTCGCGTCCTCGGCCGATGCGGCAGCGGCACGTTTGGACTTCATTGTGTGACGTTTTCCCTAAATTGGCTAGGTATAGGAATTCAAAGAAGTCAAAGAGACCAAATAATGAACTGATGTAAAAGATATCGAGAGGTCAGGGTACCTAGAGTCAAAGAGCTGCGCGATGTTTCGTCTGCTTCCAGCTCTGCGCAATTCAGGTGCGATAAGAGAAAAAAAAAATCTCCAATCGCTCTTATCGCGGCTAGATTGCCAACTTTCCCCCTTCTGGTCGGCCATGCTTTTTCTCGCGAAGTACATGTAGTGGGGCATTACGACCGGTACGTACCCGTACGAGACACAGCACAATACCTACCTAGGTAGGTATCTATACGGTAGGCACTGGTAGGTAAAAGTCTGTAATGTCGATTCAGATGCTACAATAATACAGAATTATGGACTCAGCTCGCAAATGGATATGCGCAAAAGACTATCAGCAAAGAGATCCAGGATCAAGCATGGGAGCTTGAATGCGTCAGGGACTTGGTTGTACAACAAGGTACTTGGGACCCGACATCTCTCGACCTTCTCATGCGCTAACGCTTGGTGCGCTTAGGCACCTTTAAAGTGCTACCAGTCCCTGTAATTGGCCGCTAACTCCCGTCGCTCCAGGTTCTGCCCCAGCACTCTTACGGCACGCCGCGTCAACGCCACCCGCTTCCTTATCTGCGACAAGGTCACGGCAATTCATGACGGACTCTGTAATACCTCCTACGTGGTACCTTAGGTAGTTTTGGTCGACAAGCAGCATCTTGCTCACATTAGACACGAAGTACCTCGGCTGTAGCTTGCCATTGAGTGCAATGCACCATATAGACAGACTTTCACTCTATGTATGGCGAATTCCGCGTTTTGAGAGAGAACCTTGAACCTCTCCTACGTGGGTCGTTGCTCGTACTACTTCGAACAACCTCGTCTGTCCTCGCGTTCGGGAATCAAGGCGGCAGCCTCCCGAATTGAATGCACCAACCGGACACGATGCCGTCAGTCTCCTTCTCTGTTTCTTACCTCAATCTCAACTAGCTTGACAACCGACGTAACCACCTGCCGAGGCAAGAGCAAGTCAACTCGGAGAGAAGCCGCGCGCTGGACGGAGCATCACCTGCTTTCTGAGCCAGAGATACACTCCAGTCTTCGTCACTCATTGGCCGAATGCCGAACTCGAGGCCTCCATTTACCCCCATACCCTCTCAATCCTTCAGCTCTGTTCGCTCCTACCATTCGACCGTGCGGGGAAACGGGCGCCTTCTGTCATTGTCTCTTTCTCTGGCGCGGCGCACGGCGGGTTTGCCATGTTGAGCAGGGCAGGCAGGGCAGGAAGGTCAGGAGGGGCATTGGAATCTGAGCAACTGCGGAGGACCTTACCTGCCTAGTAGTACTGTAGTCACCATGTCTTGCCTGCTGTACGGAGTACGGAGTACTGTATTGTACAGCAGCGATGATCGCTCTTACCCCACGTAAAGCTTACCTTTGGCTTTTACCCCGCAAACGACAGGGGCGGCAAAAGCCAATTGAGGGCCTCGAGTTAGCGAATTGGTGGATTCTGGCATTTAGATGCGGCCTAGAATCTCGAGCCTTTGCTCAAGAAGGAGATTCATGGATCGGAGCAAACCGCTGGATTGTGTGGGGTAGCGCCAAAAAGCCGATGACCGTCTTGGAAGCACTTTGGACGAGCCAGCCAACAAAGGACAAGCACACACTGGAGCACATGCGTTGCCCAGATTGACGGTCTTGCCTTGGACATCGTCCGTGATTCCGTCGGATCAAACTGGACGCACTTGACATCCCTTGCTTCGCGTTACGAGTCAGCCAGCCGAGCACTCCATCAGGATCAAAGATTTACCGTTCTTCTTCCTCTTCTTCTTCTTCTTCTGATGATGACGATGATCACGATGGTGATGGCGGCAAATCTGGTCTCCTCCAGCCCTGGAGCTCCAAACTCTGCGATTTGATCGGCCATGCAGTGCAGCCACTGGCGATGCTGCTCCCCATTCATCAATCTGGCCAGGCTCTCGTGGCGCCAGAGAAGAACACCAGCAAGACCAGCAAGCTTGACGCCATTCAGACCAGGTTGCTGTGAGTAATGATACACACCACTTTCCAGATACCGACATCAACTGCCAGGGTTGTGTGTCCCAGTCCATGCTGTGCTAACCCGCCTGGTGGAGCTGGATGATGAACTCATGCACCACCGTGGGCCACCCCGGACTATCGTCAGACCTCCCCCCAGCTGCTAGTCTCCCACCGTTGGCACTCGATGCTACGCAGTCATATCTACAGTACTAGTACTAGCAGCATCACATACAGATACAGTACAGTACACGTACAAGGCAGAGGCCACGATCGAATGACCAGACCGAGTCAGCTCCAGACCATGGGCTCTTTCGATCGGCAGGCTGCTCAAGTAGCACTCGGTCTACTTTATGATCGTTTGTCCCCCCCTCATCTGAGACAAAAGACACTTGCTCCCTCCGATGTAACCCTGCTGTTAACCACACTTCTCTTCCCTCATCCAGCTTCTCTTCTTCCCCAACTTTCTGATCTACCTCGTCACTTCCCTTACCAGACTCTGTAGCTTTCAATCACTCTCCGTTTCTACACTCTGCCTTGCAACGGCACAATGGATGCGAGAAGGCCTGCCTCTGTCTCTGAAAAAGCAGAGGTTGAGAAGATTCAGGATGTGGCAGCAGCACATACCCTGGGGGAGTTGGGACTAGGAACGGGGTCTGATCCTGCCATTGGATCGTTTGTCGACATTGATGAGAAGAAGGTCTTGCGCAAGGTACCTACAAAGTCTCCCTACAAGGCGTAACAGACAAACCCATTTGATAGTTGCATCATCACTAACAGAGGGCTGGCATAGATGGACATCCGATTAATCCCAATGCTGGCGGCTCTCTACCTTCTCTCGTTTCTCGATCGTAAGTCGACCATTCACATCGCCCATACTCGCAAATGGCTGTCCCACTGACAGTAGCAAAGGGGGAAACATTGGCAATGCGAAAATTGAGGGGCTTCAGGAGGACCTCCACATGACGCCGGAGCAGTACAATTGGTGCCTCACCGTCTTCTTCTTCACATATGCGGCATTTGAGGTTCCTAGCAATCTGCTTCTCAAAAAGCTGCGCCCCAGCCGCTGGTTGCCATTGATCATGGTCTGTTGGGGTCTTGTCATGACACTCATGGGCATCGTCCAGAGCTTCCACGGCTTACTTGTGGCCCGCTTGTTCCTGGGAGTGACTGAGGCCGGCTTGTTTCCTGGTGTAGCCGTGAGTCCAGCCCTCAGCTGTCTGCTGGGCACCTCAGGAGACTTCAACTAACGCCATACGCGTAGTACTATCTCACAATGTGGTACTGCCGGCACGAAATCCAGCTTCGACAAGCCCTATTCTTCTCCGCCGCCTCAGTCGCTGGAGCCTTCAGCGGCCTCCTCGCGTTCGGCATCAGCAAAATGGACGGCATCGGAGGCCTTGCGGGCTGGCGCTGGATCTTCATCCTCGAAGGAATCGCAACTGTGCTCGTCGCGGCCCTTGCATTCTTCTGGCTGCATGATTTCCCCGAGACAGCCAAGTTCCTCACCGAGGAGGAACGTGCGTTTGTCGTCCATCGGCTAAAGTACCAAGGTCAAGTCCAGACCTCGGCCGACGGGGAGACTGAGCAAGCTCAGGTTGCACAGGCGGAAGAGTTTGAATGGAAATACGTTCGTCAAGCCTTTACTGACTGGCAAGTCTGGGTCAATCTCTTCGTATACTGGAGTGTAAGTCTCAAAATTTCCCCTCCGTTCCGGCTCTATACATGAGGAAATCATACTTGTTGTCTACAATACTGATATGCAATGCAAACGCGATAGGTCGTCTGTCCCCTCTATGGCATCTCCCTCTTCCTCCCAACAATTATCAAATCTCTCAACTACACATCGAGCACCGCTCAACTAATGACGGTACCTATCTACGTTGTTGCCGCTATTCTTGCCGTTATCAGTGCCTACTTCTCTGATAAAGTCGGGAAGCGAAGCCCATTCATCATTGGCTTCCTACTGATGATGATAGTCGGCTTCTCCATGTAGGTGTTCCGTCTGTACGACTACGCAACAACGCTCGCGCAAGGCCAGCTAACAATTTGATCCAGGTGCATCGCTTCTTCCAACCCCAAGGTCGTCTACGGCGGAATCTTCATCGCCGCGTGTGCCATCTACCCAGCCTTTCCCGGCGTCATCACATGGCTATGCAACAACTTGTCAGGGAGCTACAAGCGCAGCGCCGGAATGGCACTTCAGATTGGTGTTGGCAACCTGGGAGGCGTAAGTTGGCCGTTGGGCCTCCATTCCCACTGTTCTTGACACGAGCGCTCCGCGACTGACTTGGTTACTTTGCTTCCGACAATAGGCCATGGCATCCAACTTCTACCGTCAAGCGGACAGCCCGCGATACATCCTGGGCCACGGCTTGGAGCTGGGCTTCATCTGCATGGGCATCATCGCCAGCCTCGTCTTGATATTCAGCTACTACAGGGTCAACAAGAGGCGAGCCCAGAGGATGGCCGATGGAGAGCTGGCAAATTTCACGACACAGGAGCTGTCAGCCCAGGGAGATCGAGCCATAACCTTCCGTTACATGTTCTAATGTCTCAATGGCAGACGCAAAGCCTTTTGTTCCATCACGTACTGCGAGGGAGAGCTACTGGAGCGAACAAGTATAAACGACATTGTATTACTGCCGTGGCCGACTCAGCCCATGTAGTATATATGCGTCCATGCATCCCAAAATGATAAACTAACACACATGATAATGACCACCCCGCCTCAGTACACATGCAATAAACGACAACATAAAATGATTGCTCCTACAAGTATTTTCCCCATTAAACATTGAACACTCCTCCGTATAGATAAATCAATTCAACAACATTCCGCCAACAAGGATGATGAGAAGCGCAATGGTGAACAGGTGAGGTGTTGTTCTCGAAACGCCATTGACCAGCGCCACGTGGGGAGCCGAAGACTGCTTCACCGCTTCACCAGACTGAACAGGAGTGATGTCCGACGTGGCCGTCGTCGTCGCGATGCCGCTCGGGGTCGGAGAGTCGTTGCTCGCAGACTCGTTGCTGATAGTCGTCGCGGGTGCTGCTGTAGCCAAAGGGATCGTGTCCAAGACGGTCATGAGCAGTGTCTCGGCAATTGTCTCCCCGGAACGAACAACCTTGACCGTGACAGAGCTCAGGGAGTCATGCTGTTGACCATCGGCGACCGGCGAGGCATCTCTCAGGGTATCGGAGGGGAAGATGAGATTGGCCCTTGGTGTGTGCGCTGTGGTCACTGTCTCCTTGCCATCAGACTCGCACGACGCAGTTGGTGATCCATGTTGTCCCGCCACGCTTGTCGTTTGCGACGTCCGATTGCCCTTGGCGGTTGGCCAAAGAGTGACTTCTGAAGGCTCGAGTGTCTTGCTGGGAAGTTGGCCTTCTGCTGTTTTCCCGGCTGCATTGACGGACAGACTGTTGAGCGATCGTATCGTCAAGCCACTTTGCCCGTACGATGGCGCTTGTGCTTCTGAGCTCTGGTTCTCCTGTGGAAGCGGTTGTGCGCTCGGCTCGGGCAGGCTCGTCTCGAAGTCAGAACCCGACGAATATTGCGGAGGTCCGCCGCTTGACGGATCCGATGTGTCATCTGATGACGACGGGACTGGCGATGGGGCTGGTGCAGGAGCTGGTGAAGGAGATTGAGAAGACGGCCGAGGTGCACTTGTGGGTCGTGCAGATTGGGACACCTGGGGACCTGAAACCGGATCAACAGACACGTTCGTGCCGTCTGCTGTCGAACAAGTGCTGGATGGGGCAGCCAACGTTGAGGAAGCAGGTGCCGGAGGAAGGGCTGGAGAGGTCGCTGGGGCTTGAGGCCCCTCGCCTTCACCAACGGAGCCACGGGAGGGATCAGACTGGTTGGGATCCTGAGGATCCAAGCCCCCAGTCGCTGGAGAAGCTGTTGCGCATGGAGATGTTGAAGCAGGAGAAGCTGGAGCGGCTGGAGAAGCTGGAGAAGCTGGAGAAGCTGGAGAAGCTGGAGAAGCTGGAGAAGCTGGAGAAGCTGGAGAAGCTGGAGAAGCTGGAGCGGCTGGGGAAGCCAAGGAAGATGGGGAGGCTGGCAGAGCCGAAGATGGTGATGAGGCTGGAGAAGCCGGGGATGACAAGGCTGGAGAAGTCATGGATGATGAGGCTGGAAACGCAGGATCGCCGCCACCAGGGGATGCCGAGGGCGCAGATGTTGCGGCCGGGTCACGGTTAGTCTCGCCTTCACTTGAAGATGAGGGTGCCTGACCGTCGGCAGGATCCTGAGCGCTTGGTGATGCAGAGTCTGGCTGGCTTGAAGAGGTGGCACTCGGATCAGATGATGCTTGTGTCGCATTGGGAGGAGGAGATGAAGCGTCGTCACCGTCACCGCCATCCCCGTTGTCGTCGTTGCTGTTCCCGCAGTCTCCCTCGCCATTGCCGTTGTCGCCATTGCCGTTGTCGCCATTGCCGTTGCCATTTCCGCCATTGTTTCGCTCACCATCGCTCTCGTCATTGCCACCGCCAATATCGCCTTGGCCATCGCCCTCCCCCTCACTAGGGTCTGAGTTAGGGGCTGGAGACGGTGAAGGAGGAAAAGCAGTCGACAAAGGCGGGTTAGGCAGAGGCAGAGACACGGTGACTAAACCGTCAGATCCGGAGTTGCACTTCAATTCAACCGAGATGTCAAAGGACAAGGTCAAATGCTCAGGGCTTTGTGGTGATGGAACGCTCGGCGTGCTGTACGCAGCGGGCATCGACGGTGCGAGCAGATCCTGAGCCTTGACAAGGTTGGCATGCTGGACCTCGACGGGATACAGCGGTCCAATGGCGGTGCCCAGGTCGGAGCATGCCAGGATGACATGGGCAACGGCCGGGCTGTAGGCATCATGGGGGCATGAGGTGATGAGACATTGGAAGAGAGCCTGCGGAAGCACAAAGTGTCAGTCGAACGCCGAGCAGCCTGATGAGAAGTGAGGGTGACTGACATTTGTCATGAGCTTGTCTCCGCAAATGACTTTGAGATCGAGTGCTCCTTTGTCGTTCCTGATGTTGGAAGCACAGTTGACAGCGCATCCTGTTGACTTTTGATCAGCACTATAAACATGAGAAGAGGAGGGACATGGGGATCTCTCGCAGTCACACTCACGAGGTGCAGGGTCGTTGGCATTGCAGAAGCCGAGAGGAATGCAAGCTGCGAAGAGAGCAACCGAGCGAGGACGCATGTTGGGCTTGCAAGCGAGCGAAAGCAGAGGAGTGCTTGAGCGCAGGGAAATATGGATTGTCGCGATTAACGATAGTCACCAAAAAGGGGATCCAAAAAGAGCGTGAAGAATGAGTTCCAAAAAAGAGCGCGTTGGCGATGTTTGGTGCGAAATGTTGGGAAGATGGAGGAAGAAGAAGAAGAAGAAGAAGAAGAGAAGAGGAGAGAGGAGAAGAATAAATAGGAGAAGGAAAATGGAAGGTCGCTTAATGGAGGAGAAAGTGGAAGGTAAGAACTGGTAAGGACGGCACGAAGAGAAGGAGGTTGGCGGAAGGCATGCAAATAAGGAGCAGGATAGAAGGCGCCAATGGTCACTGAAGGGTTCACAAGCAGGAACAGCATCTGCATTGATTGATTAATGGAGTGAAGGCAAGAGTCTATGGCAACTGTGAGACAGGTCATGAAGGAAGAGAGAGGGAGATTAGAAGAAGATGAAGAAGATGAAGAAGAAGAAAGGGAGGAAGAAGGGGAAGGACACGGTGATGCAAGATGAATGCTGGCTGAGGGGTGCGAGTCGCCAAGCTCTAATTCAGTCTCATCCGTTAATAAAAGAGCAACGCCAGAGGCTTCTTCTCGTCGGCATATCGATCCTTGAACTCCTTCCTCGCAAGGAATCGTGCAAGCGGCATCATTGTGTCCTTCATATCCATGACGCCTCTCTTCTTCTGGTCAATGTGGGAGGCATCGACGACCAGGCGCTGCAGCTTGTCCAGCTTCAATGAACCTGCCATTCAGTGGTCAGAATTGGGTTGCCACGGGAATGATGATGATAGTAGACAGGCCCGAGGCAGTCGCTTACCGTTGTCAATGAGCTCCATCAGACGCGCCGGCGTGCCGACACCGATGCCAATCTTCTTGTTCTGCAGTAGGGCGACTTGCTCCTCGACTTTCATGTGTTTCGCAAACTGGAAACGGACAGATGTGTGTGAGCATGAGAGCTGTAAGATGGGGAGTCAGAGACAGAGTTGGCTTGCAACTTACCAGCTTGGCGACTAGGTTATCTTTTCCTGAGAACTTTCGCAAAGCTCTATAGTTGCAGATGGTAAGTCAGAAATGGTTCGTTGGTCAAAGGAGGTCCGACAAAGGAAGGATGTCGTACCTGGTCAGATCTGCAGCTCTCAAGCCAGCGCCGGCAACGATGATGGTATGAGGCATGCCGTTCTTTTTCTGCGGCCGTGACAAGCTTTCTGGGTGTTCTGAGAACTTTTCGAGAAATTCAGGCAGCTTTTCTAGCGACCTGGTTTCCTGCCAGGAAGTGGTGTCTGTAATGGAAGATGCTGCAACATCAAGGATATCAGATATCAGTCTTCAACAGTCCAGTTGCTGAAGCGATTTAAAGTATGTACACACCTGACAAGGCTAGATCTGAAAGCTCTACAGGACTCAGATCGGTTCCAAATCTCGCCAGTTTCTGCGCGTGATAGTCTGCCAGTAGCTGGCCATCCATCTTGGAGAAGAGAGTGTTGAGGCCCAGCTCGGTATCGAGGCTGTCGTCGTCAACGGCATGCTTTGCCTTTCTCTTCTTGGCCTTTTTCGCCGGTGCCGCATCTTCGGCAGCTCGCTTCTTTGAATTCGACATTTTCTGGTTCAGATGCCCTGCGATTGAGTTGTATCGATGCTCTTGGCAGTGAATGTTGACAAAGGATTCTTTTTCCCTTGAAGCCGATAGTGGAACTTGGTTAAGTGTGAGAATTTTGCGGGAAGCATTGGGTAGCACAGTGTTTTGTGGTGGACAAATATGGACCAGGTTCGGCGGCGCGCTTCTATACAGCCACAGTGCGACACTGTCTTTTCACCGAAAGGTCTCTACATGTTCCGCATCTACCTACATTACCTACTACTAGTAGGTAGTTATCATGAGATGAGCTCACTCTCGCAGAATGAGTTCGAGAAGGAACCATTGTGATCAGAATACACATGCTATCTTATGAAGAGCTGTTTCAAGTTGAGAAATCAGTCAATGTGATAATATTTTAATACTCGTCTTTTGACATCTCAGATAACAGCCGCCAAAGAGCAAAAGATGTAACTACTTAGGAAGAGAAGCATGTTGATATTATCTCCCCATGGTCATGAATCTTGCACGAAATCACAAGTCCATTCTGATAGCCTCAACTCCCATTCCAAAAAACGCCATACCGCAAATGTGCCAGATGTGATGAGAAGATGATCGGGAACAGGACAAGGGGTCATGGCCCAAAAACGAAAGAAAACAGAGAAGGGCTGCGTATCGCCGCTTAGAAGATGCTGTTGACGATGTTGCTACCAATCGAGGCACCCGCACCGAAGATGGCGGCGTTACCAAGCTTCTTGCCAAACTTCTTTCCGTACTCGCCAACCTTGCCATTGCCCGCGCCGCCCGGCTGACCTGGCTGGCCGCCCTCCGCGATCGCCATAGGGGGAACACTGGCATTGTACGGGTTCTGCTGGGCCGGTGGTCCCTGAGACTGGGCGGGATAGCCGTACGTCGGCTGCTGTGGAAACGCCACAGGGGCGGCAGCAGGAGTAGGAGCCTTCTGCTGCTGCTCGACGAAGACGTAGTTTTGGGGGAAGATGCCCTCCATGCCGGTGCGGTGGTTGCGGCCCATCCACCAGTCCTGGTTCATGTACTCGTACACGTCGACCTTGTCGTCCTTTTCCAGGCTCAGGTCGCGACCATCGGCGGCCTCGTAGCGGTACAGGGCCCGGGCATGGGCCAGGACGGGCCTGCCGGTCGGCGTGCGCGTGGGGAGGTTGGGGGCAGGAGTGTCCTCGTACGAGGGCGGCGCAGGAGAGGCACCGTTGACGTTGAGATTCTGGAAGGCCTGGACAGGAGGCGTCGCGGTCGCTGCCGGCTGAGCGGGAGTCTGGGTGGCAGAGCGAGCCGCGCTGCCGGGGGCAGCTCCGCGAAGGGGCGTTTCGGCGGGAAGGGCGGCGTGGATCGTGTCGAAGGCAGCTTCGTCGATGACGCCTTTTTCGAGGAGGCTCTCCAGCTCCTGTTCTCATGGTCAGTGGTTTGGTTTAAGACTAGTGCAGGCGCATCAACGGTAGAGCTTGTTTTCGGATGCTTCACTGGCGGGCTCCCTCACATTCTTAATGGTTCGAAGAGACCGGTTAGTCTCCATGATCGTCTGGCGGTCCATGGTTTGTTGGTGATGGGTTTCTCTGTTGCGAAACCGAATGTGTGCGCGGAATAAAGCTGGTAGCGCAACAGTCGTCGCTTGAACGTGTTCAGACGTTCAAGGGGAATACCAGGCGAGGGTCTTTGATTGTTCAAGGGCTTGCGCCGAAGGAAACGAAGGAATGGGGACCGGCAAAGAGAGAATCGACTTGACTCGATCGCTGGTTTACGGCAAGAGAGCGGGAGATGCAGGGTGCAGGATGCAGGATTGCAGGGAGTGGAGTGATGCTACGAATGCCAGAAGGCTGAGCAGGCGGGATCAGAGACGGGAGACAGCACGCCAGTTCCAGGTCCACTGGGACTCACTACTACCTATGGCGGCCCTCTAGGCAGTGAAACCGAGAAGGGGTTCTGCAGTGGGCTGTGCTGCTAGCCAACGAATCATTACCCGGAGCGGATTTCAGTTGGTTGGGGAGAGTCCGGATTTGGCACTTCGGGGTCTGGAGAGTGGCCGAGAGGACGAGCCACAGCACCCGGAATGACGACAGAAGAGGGAGAGAGGCCTGAGGGGAACATACACATGACAATGTTGTTGAGAATTATTTGATAATGGAACTATACGAAAACAAAAAAAAAAGGAGGGGAGTCGTTGGGCCGGCTTGTGTAGGCGAGACGGTAAAGAGACGAATGCAAGATGAATTCCGCACTCGCCACACGTTGGGAGGCAGCCCGGTTTCAATTGATATTGTTGCTCGTACCCCGTAATACTGTGCACATCACAGAATTGCACTTCACTCAGATTGATCCTGAAGGTCCGCAATTGTGATTCGTCTCGTCCCATCACGCGCATCTACTACAAAACATTAGTTGGAGCGCTGCTTCAGTCATGGTCATGTCTTTTGATTTTGCTTTATATATATATATCATTATTTTGCCATCTTTTGGACCTGTTCAGCCCACCAAAGATCGATTCATCATAAGCTAGGTACATGTGGACTCCCGTCTCTTCCCATTTATGTCTTTTGTGTAACGCCTCAGTTTAAACGACAAACTTGCTCTCCTTGACGGCGTACTTGTCGACATACTCATCGACAGTCATGGCCTCCAGCTTCTTGCTGTCCTGGCTGAGCTCAACAAGCTCCCGGACAGTGGCCTCGGGGTAGTGAGGGGCGAGGTGGCGCTTGTACTTGGCCAGGATGACGGGCTTGGCCTCCTCGCGGCGGAGACGGTGGCCCAGAGGAGCCTCGACGACCACCTCGGGGAGGACGGTGCCGTCGTTGAGCTCGACGGTCAGGGCGTTGGAGATGGTTCGCAGGGCAGGGTCGTGGTAGTCCTTGGTGAACTGAGGATCCTCGACACACTTGATCTTCTTGCGAAGAGACTCGACGAGCTCGGAGGTGGCAGCCTCGGAGCCGTCAACGTAGTCGGTAGCCTCAAGGCGGCCGAAGACGAGCATGACGGCGGACATGTACTGGATGCAGTGGTCGCGGTCGGCGAAGTTGTCCATGGGCTTGAACTGCTTGTCGATGATGCGGATGCAGGCCTCGTGGGTTCGGCAGGTGACGGCCTTGATGTCGGCAGCGGACTTGCCCATGGCCTTGAGCTGGTGGTGGATCTTCTCCGAGGCCTCGACGGCAGTCTGGGAGTGGAACTCGGCTGGAGAGATACTTGTTAGCAAGCCTGGTCTGTATGGGGGATCCAGTGTCTGTATAGGTTCTAATTTGAAGAGCTAAAGGGGCAGAAGGGGCTGATAGAGATGGGAGGATACTCACCAGGGTAGGACACCTTGAAGAGAACATTCTCCATGACGTAGCTGCCGTAGGGGCGCTGGAACTCGAACTTCTTGCCCTTGAAGAGCACGTCGTAGAAGCCCCAGGTGGGCGCAGAGAGAACCGTGGGGATGCCCTGCTCGCCCTTCATCACCTTGAGCGCCAGGTTGACGGCGCGCTGGCAGGCATCACCAGCAGCCCACGACTTGCGGGACATGGTGTTAGGGCTGTGGCGGTAGGTGCGCAGGCTCTGGCCGTCAACCCAGGCCTGGGTCACGGCGTCGGCAATCTGCTTCTCGTTGAGGCCCAGCATCTTGGACACGACAGCGGTGGAGGCGACCTTGACCAGCACGACGTGGTCCAGGCCGACCTTGTTGAACGAGTTGAGCAGAGCCAGGCAGCCCTGGATCTCGTGGGCCTTGATCATGCCCTCGAGCACGTCTCGGATCGTGAAGATCTTGCCGCCGGCCAGGTTGCCGCCAGCCTTGTTGGTGCGGTTGACCCAGTCGGCAACAGCCAGGATGGCTCCCAGGTTATCGGAAGGGTGACCCCATTCGGCCGCCAGCCAGCAGTCGTTGAAGTCGAGCCAGCGGATCATGGCTCCGATGTTGAAGGCGCCGTTGACCGGGTCCAGCACAAAGGGGGTGCCGGGAACCTTGGTGCCGTTGGGCACGACGGTGCCGGGAACAACCGGGCCCAGCAGCTTTGCGCACTCCTTGAAGCGGAGGCCCTCAAGACCGCAGCCGAGGGTGTCGAGAAGAATCCATCGAGCCGTGTCGAACTGTGGAAGACGAGCAGTTAGAGCTGAACATTGCGTCTCTGTTGTCTGTCTGGCGGTCTGTTCCATCTCTTGGCCCCCCCTACTCCCCTTTAATTTCCCCTTCTTCTTCGCCTTGCTCTTCTCTTCCTTTTCCCATGCTTGTCCTTCGCCGCATCGCGATAGAACCCAATGGCATGGCGGGGTCGAAAGCCTTTCACCTCGTTTTCCAAAATGAGGGGCATCCCAAGAACTCCGGCAACACCTAGGGATTAAAATCACCGGAGACTTACCGCTAGCTCAGAGTCAATTGTCTTGTTGGCGACATAGTCGGCAATGTCCTTGATTTCAGGATCGTACTCGCGCGAAGTCGTAGCCATGGCGGGCGCACCAGAAAGCTTGGAGAAGGAGGTCGAAAAGTTGCTGCGTGAGGCGGGGGCTGAGGCCACAGCAAAGCCGGACGAGGCAAAGCGACTGGCGCCGACGGAGGCCGAGCAGAGACCACTTGCAGCTCGCGGTTGGACTCGCAGCTTTGACGCTGACCTGAGGCTGCGGGAGATGGCGGACATTGTGAAGCCCAAAAGGGGGGAAAGGGGAGAGAGGAGAGTATGATTTTCTGGCGTCTCGGTGGGAAAGACTCTCTGGGCTTTTTAAGACACAATCTGGAGGGAAGGGGAGAGTAAGAGAGAGAAATAAGCCTCCAGCTACTCGGTCCGCCCAGCCGCTTTGTGAAGGCGTTTGGAAGCTTTTCCAAAGCCGAGCTCTCGCAACCCCCCTGTCCGAACTCCGCCATTTCTTTTGAAATTCGCTTCCCTCTCGCTCAGCCGTCAAATGCCGCCCGCTCCATCCTCGGCTAAACCAGGCCGATCTAGCAGCTTGCTGTTCCCCAGCAGATGAATCGCGTTGTCGAAAAGCTTGGGACGTCTTCCCCTCTCTATGGGCGCTCTTTTTGTGGGAGCCCCGGATCCGGAGCGTCGCCGGCAATCTGCACCTCGGTCATGGCCAGCCAAGACTCCGGGAGACGGAGCATGGAGTAGCTCGGCTGATGGCGTCGTACCGGATTCGGAGGTGCTGTGACCCTGCTGCAATCCGGAGGCTGGTCACTCTGTCGGAGTAAGTGATGCTATGCAGGGAATACTCGATGATTCTGTACTGCTTGGTGCTACTTGCGTTACCTACTTGTTCTGTAGCCTCCAAGAAGTTGGAGAATTGCTGATTCCCCCTACTGGGCTGGGATGCAAACCGTGTGCTTCATCACGACATACGCCTTGCAACGAAGAGTCTCAAGTATTGAGCATAGTCTTACGCTCCGATCGAAGCATCTCGGTGCGCATTCTGGCTTTTCTGTACTCTACAGACGCTTTTAGCTGACTCAAATTCCTCAACGCCTTCTGATCGCGGCCGTGAACAATTATCTGCGCGAGTACTTCGATTCGAGTATGCCGGGTAGGGCTGTCGATTATCACAAACACACGATGAATAATGCAAAGCCTTAGGCTTCAATCAATTTATATGTACAATCTGAAAGTAATCCCACTAAAACAATCAAGAAGTCAACAAGATCAAGCCAGTATGGTATAGCTCCTCAGAAAACTAGCCTCACCCCCTGTACCTGTCCTGCGGAACAGAAGAATCACATTCGTCGGCATTCGACGCAAAGGCCTTTTACTATCATCCCTCGTCCCGTCTCTCATTGCCAGCATGTTAAAAACTTATCATAGCGTTCTGCCTAGGATTCACATGACTAGTTAGCAACGTTGTCATACGACGTCGTACAAAGGCGGGCTGCGTCTTCTCACTTTGAGTCCTCGGGACGAATCAGTTTGATGACAACGACGGTGACGGTGACGACGGCGACGAGGGCGCCGACGTCTGAAGGGGAATCATGTACGTCGGACAAACGCTGCACTGGCCCTCTTTGCGCAGCTTCGGCATGATTGTCGGCGAAAGCTTGAGCTTTGGGTTTTGGCAGACGGAGTCCGGCTGATTCTGGCTTATGCACCTCTGGAACACCACGCACTTGACCAGGTGCGGAGGATCAGGAAGGCAGTTCTCGTAGACGACCGACGCAACTGTATACAAACACATGATGGCTTTATTATTGTGAGGTATGGGGTTATGTTATAATGACGACGAGAAGGTACTGGCAAAGGAAGAGGAACTTGCACAGCTCGGAAGTGCAATACTGAATATTGTTTACCTAGATAGTTCAGGTGGGCAGGGGAAACCCAGTACCGATGGCCTTGGTCTGGACTCTTATACTCAATTTGAAAAGAAGGCGCGCAGCACGGCAGACCTGCCATGTCTTGAGACACACTATATGGCAGGAATCAATCCAGCTCCTGACTCCAGGGGGAGGCCTTCTCATCTCCGATCAGCTTCTTATGACAGATGTTGTTTCTTTCCCACTTCAGCTTCTGACTATCAATGAGCTCCTGTCTCGTGGAAATGAGCATGCTGCACATAGGTGAATGAGTCCAATCCTGGAAAAAATCGATACGTCGCGCGTGCGTGTCTGTGACATCGTGTCTGGCCACAACGCTGTAAGCCACTTCCTCCTCCCTTTGTTCCGTTTCTTGATTCCCGTCATGCATACGAAGAGAACAGCTCGAAGCGAGGATGGTGTGCATTGAGCTCTTATTTCTTCTGCTATCGTAGATGGTGGGAGCGAAGCTTTCCTGCA